TTTGATTATTGACAGAAATTCAATATAAAAATATGATTAATTTGCAATATTCAGAAGGAAATAAGAAATAATTTGGCAAAATTACTGTTTTTATGATGGAAAATTTGTCTATGGTTTAAGCATTTAATTAAACTGACAGATATCATTTTGGTGGAAGAAAGAAAATAGCAGGTGCTTTCAGAACCGATGGGATCTCTGCTTGAACAATAATTTTTGTTTAATCCTAAACATATTTTATTGTTTCTATTTATGACCCCTACAGCTTCTTATGCTATTGAGTTGGTTTCTATTTGCTTGAGCACCATTGGCACATTTTTTGTGCTTCCAAAACAACCTGTCACATAACATTGATTTTAAAAGAAATATATTATTTAATTTTTATGCAATAAATCTTCTTTTATTTTTAAAGTATTGACTTGATGTAAGTTGTTTAAGTTTATTTCAAGATTTTAAATGGAGAATAAATAAACAAATAAGTTAACAATAAAAATAAAGCACCAGCTACACACTGAAATATGGTTAAGTGTGTTAACAACAATGAAAAATATTGTTGCTAATGGCCATTCCATTTGTCCGCGTAGCCAACGAAATTTTAAATTTTGACATTGTTTACTATTATAAATTAATTTTCAATTAAGATTTATATTTGTAAAATAAAAACAAATTATATTTTTATCTAAAATGGAGTTACCAGATTTAAAAAGAAAATTATGATATTATAATGGTGCTGCTACTGCAGTGTGGCCAGTTACGGCCTCGCGGTTCTTTTAATTGCAAATTACTTTTTAATAATTATTACTTTTAGAGAATTTTTGCTACTTTCGTCATGAGGACAATGTATTTAAGACGGTTATGAAAATTTATTAAAAATAATTTAAGCCAAATTGCCTAAAAATATTTGAGCCATTTATTTTCTTATATTAATTTGGACGAATTCAATTCATATATGGGGCTAACAATAAGATGTCCTCTGTCTCTGAGCCCAAAAAAAACGAACTTCTTAAAACTAAATTGCAATTAAATGAGGGAAGTCTGCCATTGCCGGTTATATTTTACAGTTGGCCTCGCTTTTGTACATACTCAAGTATACATCAGAACATTTTCCTCTTTTAATCTTGTTTATGAGCTAATTTTAGGCTTAACAGCAAATATGAAAAGTATTCTGAATGTCCGATCGATTCGTGCTCTTGTTAAGTGAATTTACGTGAAAATTTACCTGCTGTCGGCGCTGGAAAGATGTTCACGTGGACCTCCGCTTGCCGCTTGTCGTCAACCGGGCCGAAATTGCACTGATTTATGTCCAAAAAACTCGTTACAGTCCGACTTTTGATCTCACACAACCTCACTTGACACTTTGTAAACAATTTCTGACCCCACCCACCTATTTTCCCTCCGATTTAGCAAAAAAGGGGGCGATATTGCATAAATGCAAGTAGCAAGTGGTGCCCTCGAAGCGGAGCGGCGACACCTCAGTTGCAGATAATAATGATCTGGAAAAAAAACTGAAAATTTTTCGTTGCTACAATTATTTTAAAATTTTTTTAATGAAGAGAGTAAATTAAATAGCATTGTTTGGTGGTCTTTTTTAAATTTTGATTGAAAATATTAAATATATTGCGAAATTGAAGTTTTTAAATGTATGGAATTTTTGACAAAATTAATGATGCGAGATGATTTTGTAGAAAATTAAATCAACTGTTTCCGTGGCGCAATTGTGATTGCCTATTTCTAAAACATGCTTCAAAGTGACAAATTCATATTTTATCTTGCGTAAATTTCACTGTAAAAAAGTCATTATACTGTAAAAAATAAATGAAAATAAAATTGAGGAAAAGGTGAAACCTCTATGAAACGCCGGGGGCGTCAAGAGAAGTGATGAACCGAGGAAAATAATTATGTAATATCAAGAAAGTCATTAAAAAATCTTATTTTTTTTTTTAACTTTTAAACAATTCCTTTTGGAACTAGCAAAATTAATTTATTATTTGCCGGTTTCTCAAAAAAATGATGAAATTTTCCTTTAAACTGAAGTAAGTAAACAAAATAAAATTATTATCAAGTTATGACCAGGGAAAAGTATGGTTTTTATACTGAAACTGTGCGGATAAACTCCGCCTTCAAGAATGGAATATAATTAGGACATTAATTCTTTAATGGCCTAAAATTAAATACATCAGCTTGTAAAAAAAAATTTAAAACAACTCCATTAAAACTCTGAAATTAAGGTGAAAGAATAACATGATATGCATATGTGCCACAATTTTGGCTGATTGAAAGGCCCAAAAATTTTTTTTATATAAAAAAAACTTTTTCATTGTTATTTATTATCAATGATTGTACTCGTAGCACCCCGCTCAGAAACAAATGTCTAGTTTTTAATTGAAATCCATAGAAAGTAACCTCTAATAATCTCAAATATTCACCAAATTGGACTTCCTACCACACTTTTAATACCTCTCCGTGTAGTGTCCTGATTTTTAGCGTGATTGAACGGGCGCACGTGCTGAAAAATAACCTAATTTCTCATTTTCACCAATTCACAGTATTCTTTTTTTTGTGTGCCGAAAATAGAATTAATTGCCTAGCATTAGATCGGGTCAATAGTTGCGTTGACGGGAAGAAAAATTATTATTTCAGTGGCTCTGGCGCGGCAATGACAATAATAATGTGACGGCGCAAAACGGGGTCATGCGCCGTAAAAACGCACACACACGACAAGGGCGTCAAACTTCCTAAAAAAAAAAACGCAGCTGGCCACGATTTGAATTGAAATGACCGGGTTTTGTAGGGAAGAATATACGTGGGAGGGCTCAACGAAAATATTGCCTCGTTGCGTGGAGCCCTCGAGTGCAGCAGCAAAGCACTCGTTCGTGTATTTCGAGAGTGTTATCGCGGCGCGTAATGAGAGAGCGCGGTGGAAATATATGCATGACTACTGTGTGCACAGCAGCAGTCAGTCAGTCTGCCGGGTGATCAATGAACTCATTGAGAGCTGCTTCGCCTTCTCTCTACTCCCCCATACCGAGAGACAGAGCGAAATATTATTTTATATATATATTTGTGCCTCCGCATTTGCATGCACGCAGAAGCGAGTGAGAGCCTCTCTATTGTCTCTCGGCCAATGTGATCCGGCCGCGGTCCAGACGACAATGCTGCCTGTGATATCTTTGATATATGAACAAGAAATATGGGATTTTCCCACATTTTTAATTATTTTGAATTGAATATACTTCTGCCGATTATCACAATTTACTTTAAATGATTTTTAATGTTTGCATTTTCCGATTTCAATTGCATAAAATTTTTATTCTTCCTTCACAAAAATTCACCAATTTAATCTTTCACCTACTTATCAAGAAAAATGTCTTTTTCAGTAAAAAATTACTCCAAACATAACGTAATAAATTGACTTTGGAATTCATTGAGTAAAAATTATGGGTTTGCTCCTCATTTTATTAGATCACGCCAAAAAATCTGAAATACGCTGAAAATTGGAATTCTTTCTTATGGTATAGGCTCGCAAAAATGGACGTTTCGTTCTTGGATGCAAATTAAAAACGTTTATATTTCTTCAACAATTATATCTTTACTTTGAATTATCTTATCAATTTCAATTAAACACGTAGATTACTTTTTGGGGGGGCTAAGCTTTATCCAATCAGTCAATCACTCGCGAGCAATTTATTGAAATGTTTGAAGAGGCTCTCAAAATTTTTCCTTTTTTTATAATTTCGAATTAAACGTACCTTTTAGCTAAGTAAGGTCAAAAGCTTTACTCAGTTGAGTTTTCAATAGAGAGAGCCATATATGGTTTTAAGAGGCAAAACCTTAATATAAATCAGTTATTTATCTGTAAGTTGCAAAAAATATTATCAGGTCAAAAGAAAAAACGAAAATTGGTATGTTTAAATCTTAATCAAAATGTTCCACCATCAAAAACATTTTTCTTCTCATTGTTAGAATAATATTTAATATATTTGTACTTCAAAACAACATTTTGTAATCATACTAAAAAAATTTATTATTTTCTGGAATATTTCAAAGTCTGCGCATTTTTTATTTTGCACCGTGTCTGTTCTGATTAGCGCTAATCAAGAATTAATAAGGTCAATTTGGAAAAGAGCGGGCGTAATTGAAATGGTGCCCATTACAATTGATAGTAGCAAACGAACGAAGCGGCGTCGGGCGGCGGCGGCGATGTCTACGGTGCATAATTATTGCCGGATTAACTGCTCACCGATTAGGTACGGAGTGTGCCGAGTAACAGATTATTGATCAACCCAACCAACCCCTTTACATATTACTCCTCGCGCTGGCTAGCTCGTGGAATTATAGTCGCTCGCGCGCGTCGATTGGCCGCCGCGCCAGACGCCAAAACACACGCGGAGAACAAGCACTTTTCGCACAAAACGAACGCGCGTGACATTTTATTAAACGCCAAATTCATCGAGAGACGACGAGAGCCGGCGAAAATTCTCGCGCGCGCGAAACCAGGCCGAGGTTATTCTTTGTTCAGGCCGCTCTTGGTGCAAGTGACAGGGCCGATAATAATTCCAACAGCGGTTGCAGCCTCTTGAAATAATAAAGGAATTTAGAGCGAAAGGGTTTAATATTATGTCACAGACAAATGCATCAATGCCCTCAAATTTTGATAATACATATTAAGGCGAGTTTCAATAATACCAATAATGAATTTATGTATTATAAGATCCAAATATAAATCTATAGAATTTCTGAATTACAGAAACTAATATCAACAATAACAGATTGTTTAATTTGTCAATTGTCGTTTAAGTTCATTTTTAAACTCTCACATCCAAAGAATGTTATATATTTTTGTTTGTCACATTTAAATTATAATATTAATGAGGCATCTTCTTTAAATTCAAAAAATTTAATTTAACATTTTAATGATAAAAATTTAAATATAAAAATAAGTTATTAAATATTTTTAAACGGTATAAATAAAAATTTATGATGTAGAATTAATAAAGTTTATTATTTGACGCTTTAAAAAAAACTAATGTGAAAATTGTTTTTTGTAGTTAAAGCAATTAAATCCATGTATTATATTTCAATTAAGTCGTGTACTCCTAAAACACAGTATGGTTTTTAATTTTTCTATTAGACAGGCCAAAAGTGCACATTTGGGTTGTTTAGGGATGAATTGTCGTCGACTTTATGAATGTTTGCGTGGGAGGAAATGGTAATAATTTACGGCGCTTTATTTGCTGTAACGTGCTCGATTTTGTACATGTTCGCGTTCCAGCCGAAAGTAATTTTGCAGACAAAAACGCTCCGAACATAATTTTAAACCGAAATTTACACAAGAACCGGCTTGTACAAAGTGTCATTTGCATTATGCAAATTCACAAAGCCAAAGAGAGAAATGTACACATTCGGCCGAGCTCCTTGCATGATATTCGGGAGATTCCGAGACGGTTGTTTGCACGAATAATTTAAAAAGGGAGAAGATTGTGCGCGGCGCAGACAATTGAAAAGAGAAAAATGAGCGTGTACCACACGTAAGTTGTATTATTTTTGTAATTTCCAGCCAAAACTGGCCCGCGCGTCTTTTTTTGCGGCTGCTGTCGCAGTGTGTTGTACTTGTCTCCCGCTTTGTATTCTGCTTGTCTGTGTGTGCGAGAGCGTACCGAGTATAATTAAATTCTTCGTGTACGGCAAGAGCGGTAATGCACACAACAGGGGGCCCTCTCGCTGACTGAGAGAGAGCTGCCTGGGATTCTGTCTAATGAGGGATTAATGGAAGTGCTCAATATTTTTGTCAACACAGACGAGTAAAAGAGAGCAGCCCCCGCTCCTTTTTTAATCCGGCGACGGACAAAATCAATATAGATGCTTTTGCCACTAGACAAAGTTAATTATGACAGACTGTGTGCAATTTGGATTAGCGCATTTAACTGCGAGGCAAAACAAAGGAGGAACTATTTTTTTCAACGCCGAAGTCAAATCACTGTTTAAAAATTGGTTTCATATAGAAGAAATTAATTTTATTTAAACATTAATTGAAAACATACTTTGATTCTTCAGCTTTTCAGCAAGAACTTGTCGAATGCCATCAACCTTTCATTATTAAAGCACTCCCAAACCCACTTCGGTAACACTGCTTTGGTGTCAGGGTAAAATTGTGCTAACTGAAATAAAATACAATAAAATAAAATAAGTTACAAATAAAAAAAAATGTTATGAAATTGAAATACCTCTTCTATTCCTTCGTTTGACTCAGTCACTAGAAACTTCACCTCCTCACTCAAATTCTCAACAACTTTGCTGGAAAAAAGTTGCCATAAAAATTTAACCGATCTGAAGCTTAAGAGAAATTACCCCTTGGCTGCAATAATGTAGCGCTTCAACTTTTTCTTTGACTCGTTGTCTAAATCTTCATGCAGAGTGAAGATCAAACCCTCAAAAAAATGTGGTAGCTTGGGCCATTTTGCAACTTCGGCGCCGTCGCTGTCATTGTCTGTTTCTGCATCATAAATGGCATCGTCGTCATCCTTACCATTGGCATCAATTTTTACCCTAAATCCAATTTCATTTAAGTCATCTTCAAAAAAAAAAAAAAAAAAAAATCACCTCTCAGGGCTTAGGGGTTCATCTTCGTCTGAAACAATGACAGGGTCTGCAGTTGGTTGAGCTGAACTTGACGGCCCAGCTGTATCTAATATTTGATTCAGTTAAAAAAATGTATATATTATTTTCCTAATACAACCATTTGTGTCCTCCCAAATTTCCTCCTCACTCTCCGACTCGTCCTGGTCAGCTTTCTCCAGGGCAAATCTAAAAAGTAAATATTATAACAAATTTGCATTGGAATATATTCCTGATCGCACCTGCGCCATGGGAATCTCTTTCTTTTTCTGTAGCACTGGTCAATCCATTCCTTTGTCACTATCTTGCCGTTGCCCATGGCTTTGACCTGCTTTACTTTTGGCGTGTTTGCAAACGCCCCACTGCATACAAAAAAATACCGGTGCTTATGATTTTGCACAAGGCTACAAACAAAGATTTATTTACATGAGGTGGGAGCACGTCTTGTCCCAGTCGCCTTTGTACTTGGCACCCATGTCGAGGGCATTGTCTCTCAGGATACCCCGCATTGGGTTTTGGAAACCGCTCAATACAAAGGTCACGCCTTTCAGCAGCTGATCATACGGCAGCTTCTGTTTAGCCACTTTAATTCCAGGCGTCGGTTCTAAATTTTGTTTTTATATAATTAAAAAAAAATAAAATTTGTAATACTGTACCAGGTTTAGACGGAGCTTCTGCTTTCTTTTTTTCCTTTGGCTTTTCCTTTTCTTTTGTTCGAGCTGGTGACTTTTTATCTTTGGGTTTTGCAACAGGAGATTTTTCAAGGTCCACTACCTTGACGTCATCTTCGTCCTCCTCGTCACTGCCTCTTTCAAGCTTCTTCCTGATTTTTCCAACCCTTTCCGTTGGCGAAGCTTTAAAGAATAGAATAAAAATAAGACCAAACCTAAAATTATATTAATTTGATTGCAAACCTGCTGCTGAAGCAGAACTTGACGGTGGCTGCATCATTCTCTTCTTTGTCTTGGGTGTCGAGCCATTCAGCGAGTGCTCTCGTTTTTTGGGAATTATTACTGCAGCTTTGGTTCTGCCGTTAGTGCCTGGAGAGCTCGAGGCTTCGGAAATAGCCGCATTGACTGCAAATATTCTCACACTAGAGAAATACTTCAATTTAAAAATAAAAATTCACCTGTTTTTGCTTGAGAAGGAGAATCTAAGGAAATATCCTTCCTCCTGGCAAATAGACTTCCAGGCATAATGTTGTCCTCCTCTTCATCTCTGATCAAAAACCTTCCTAGAGCTGAAGATCCTGGACTGGACTCGGCCGGAGCTTGCAATTTGATGAATGAAAGCCCAAATTGAGCATGCAGATTAAACTTTTGCTGACACACTATCTGCAAAATGTTCATTTAATTTAGATAATTAGCATTATTATCATTATTATTTTTAATTAATACCTTAATTCGGTCCCATTTCTGTTTGGCTGTGTCTTGGCACAGCTTGTCCAAGTCGAACATTCTCACCCTGGTCATGTCCGTTCCACCTCGAGACTCGGACGGAGTCATAAAGGACGAGTTGAGGAGCAAAACCTTTGATTGAAAATCCAAAATTTACTAATGTAAGAATTAATTTCATTATAAACAACCTCGTAGTCTTTTTCAGGGGCACTGGACTTGCCGACAAGAACTTCGACAAAAGCTGAGCCATTGTTTCCGATGTCGATTTTGTTGATTTTCGTCTCTTTTTCGAGTTGGATGACCACAGTGGCAGAAGAGTCGCCGTCTTTCTTTGTTCTCCATTTTCGAGAAGAGTTGATAAGATTTTTCGCAGGAAAGGACTGAAAAATACAAATTAATTTTTTCATGCTGTCTATCATGTTCGAGGTTGAGAATTTTGAATTCAATTTTCTAATGGAAACAAAAATCGACACTCACCGGATCTTCGCTGCTGCAACTAACGATGTGCTGAAGTGCGATGTCCGGCATTTTTCAATAACTGAAATTACGTAATTCAGCCCTAATTTGACCGAGATTTACGTGGTGCAAAAAAGTCTAATCCACCGAGAGTCGAAGGGAGGTAAACAACATCATTTGGCGGCAAACCTACGCCATCTACCGGCAGGAGTTGCTGGGAAAACTGAAACGTATGCAACTCGCACGACTTAGTGGCACGTGGGGGTTGCCTATTTGGGAAGATTGCAGGGGCTGAAATATTAGAGTTGATACAAAATTTATCAATTAGGTACTATTTGAATTTAATTATAAAACAAAGAAAAAATTTATTAGGATTTTAATAAATTAACTCTTCTTTAAGTAGACATAATTGTAGGATTTTCCCAGATTTTCTTATTTTTCTGAACAAATAAATATTAAAATTGATATAAAATTCCAGTAGCAATAATAATTTTTCGCATAAAATGATTTTCCCATAATTATATGTGATCAAAATTTTAATTTTAAAAAAAATATCTTGATATTATGTTCAAAGATCGGGCTCTTTTGTGATATATTTATGGTAAAATCTAGCATGTTGTCAGACTGCGCCGTCGACTCTTTTAGCTGTTTTTGACTTTTCGATCATCATCAAGCATATATAAAATTTGGCAATAATCTTTTTTTATATAAAAATTGACACTGACACTTCTTGGCTTTAGCTGAGATGGAAGAAAAAATAAAATCGGCGCTTGGATTTACCAAGTTTCAAAGGGCCCGAGGCGGCGGCGGTGGAGGCTGCATCAACGAAGGTGATGCTTACGAGACAGATCAAGGCACAGTCTTTGTGAAGAGAAACAGCAAGAAAGATGTATTTTGTAAAATAAATTATTTCAAATTAAAATATTAAATTTATACATTCCAGGCACAGCTGATGTTCGACGGAGAATTCGAAGGGCTGAAAGCGATATTGGAGACCGACACGCTGAAAGTGCCAAAGCCGATGGCAGTCGTTGAAAATCCAAAGGGGGGAGCAGTTTTGGTGATGGAATATTTAGATATGAAAGGTTTAAGTAAATATTCATCACAAATGGGCACTGCATTGGCTAAGTATGAGAAATTGAAGATTAAATAATTTTAATTGAATTAAAAGTTATAATTTTTTTCAAAAAGGCTCCACTTACACAACGCAGAGAGAATTGCCAATGCAGAAAATAACAAGTCAAATATTTCAAATCCTGAAAAATGTGAAGAACAAGAGCAGCTGGGAGTGCAAAATTTTGGATTTGATGTTCCAACTTGCTGTGGCTACATTCCCATGGACAACACCTGGACCGTCGACTGGCCAGTAATTAATAATTTTTATTTTATGAGCTTACTTATAAAAATTATTTTTTCATGTTTTCAGATATTTTACGCTCGAAACCGTTTGGAATACCAGATTAAACTTCTCCAAGAGAACGTAAAGTCATATATTATTATTTAATTATGTAAAAAAAATCAATATTTTTCCAATTAAAATAGGGTGGCGACAGGGAATTGATGGAGCTATGGTCAATTCTACAACTTAAAATTCCAGTTTTTTTCCCAAAAGAGGTGAAAATTGTCCCATCTCTATTGCACGGAGATCTCTGGAGTGGAAATGCAGCGGAAACTGACACATTGCCTGGTAATAATTCAATGGCAAATTTCTTATTAATTTTTGAAAAAATATATCTTTCAGTTTCATTTGACCCAGCTGCTTTCTATGGCCACCATGAGTATGACTTGGCTATTGCAGGAATGTTTGGTGGATTCAATAGCCAATTTTACAATGCCTATCATGAATTGATTCCAAAAACCAAGGGATTCCCAAAGAGGCACAAACTGTACCTGCTATTCCACAATTTAAATCATTGGTAAGTTATTTCTCGTTATCGTTGGTTGTTCCATAAATTTTAAATTTTAAAGGAACCATTTCGGAAGTGGATACAGAGGCTCAACCCTGAGTATCATGCGAGAACTGGTAAACTAAATAAAAATCCAAAGAGATAAAACAGGGCCTTATTGATTAAAAATAACCCAGAAATTCTACTTAACTTATTTTACTTTTTAATCTAAAATGATGGATCAAAACCTGTAACTCGCTTGATTGCTGTGTTTGTCTCAACTTGTGACATTGGTCTCAACTCATGAATCTCCATACTAAAGGATGCTCGTCCTGAGGTCATCGTCCGCAGTTCTGTCGAATATCCCAAAAGTTCTGACAGAGGTGTTTGAGCAATTAAAACCTAAAGAATTTACATTCAGTAATTAAAACTAATAGTAAGAAAACTCATACCTTCTGCTTTCCCCTCTCGACAATAGAAACAACATTTCCTCTTCTTCGGGTCAAGTCGGAAATGATTGCAGACAAAACTTCTGCGTCAGCAATTAGCTCCATCTGCATTACTGGCTCTAGAAGCCGAGTGCCTCCAGTTTTTAATAACTGAATAAAAGATTGGAATAATTTTACCTTTTTAAAATAGATTTCACTTACTTTTTGAACACACTGAGTCATGGCTGCGATGATTGCAGTGTCTGTTGTGCCATAAGTGGAACTAAACGAATGCAAAACAGGTTTAACTCCTACGACGGGACAGTTCAAGAGAGGCCCACTCCGGAAGCCAGCTGCGGTGCCTTTCCGAAGAGCATTTATAATTCTAGGAGGCAGAGAACTCAATTTGGCCGCGTCCTCTCCTGATTTATCCATTTCCAGAGGAAATTGTATGTACTCGTCTTGGGGCTCCAGGGACATTACCAGAGAAACATTACTCTGAGATGAGCCTAGAAACAAAAGATATGTATAGTTCATTTATTTGCTTTTTCGTTTGAACTTTGAACCCCAACCTATTTTTTGAGTAAACTGGTGCGAGTCCTTGATAGCATCCTGGAGAATTTCTTTGTAAGCAATCTGCATGGGACCCAGATCAACGTCAATTTTGTACTCGGATACAATTCTCTCCTTGATGATTTCAATGTGCAATTCGCCCATACCGCCTAAAATTGTCTGCCCTGTTTCTTGATTGAATATCACTTTCAGGCTGTTGTCCTCCCTTTGCAACTCCAACAGTGCCTTATCCAACGCTTTTTGGGCCGACTAAAGGAAAAAATTAAAGATTTACTCAAATTAAAAATAAAAAAGCAAACTTGAGAGGGTGGTTCTATTGAACAAAAGAAAACAGGCTCCATTGATGATCCGCTTGAAGCCAAAATGTGTTCGGCCTCATTCGAGTCAATGTTCTTCAACTTAGCCAACTTTGCCTTGGCACTATTTGCCGAGGAAAGGTTCCCGGTGACTAGGTCTCCAGCAAATGTGTCCTTCAACCCAGTGACAGCAGCAATATTTCCACATCCAACATCTTGTACTTCTTCATACTCGTCTGCATAGGCAACGAGAAGTTGGCCGCTTTGCTCTGCTTTTTGTAGACGAACGTTGAATAATTTTTGTCCCTGGTGATGATAAAAAAATTAATGTTAAAATAATCTAAAAATTTCCATTTGGACAAGGGTCATGCAAAATAAAGCGATGGCAAAATTACCTTTTGGAAATTTCCACTGAATACACGCATGAACGTCACAGCACCTTTGTGGGAATCATGTCTGACTTTAAAGGCCCTGGCGCAAAATGAGTCTTTAAATAAATTGACTAGATAATCTTTTGGTCTCTCAAAGGGAGAAGGAAGGTAGAGACCAATAGCGTCCATCAAAGGCTGGACACCGACATTATGGTAAGAACTTCCGCAAAGGACAGGCACACAAAGCTACAAATTAAGAATCAATCAGTAAAATCTCTCTGGAATTTTAATATTCGGAACCTTTTTAATGGTTGCTCTCCGAATAGCTGCTTTTAACTCGGCAGGGACAACGTTTGACAGACTCTCCCTCTGGATGACATCTTCTGCGAGGATCTCGTCAACATCAGCAACCAGCTCGACCAGTCTGATTCTCTCTTCAAGAGCCATTTCCAGCAATTCTCCCTTAATTTGACTAACATTGATGCTCTTGCTCTTTTTTCTGTCCCACTCTAGCAGCTGCATCGTCACCAAGTCTATCACAGTCGAGATTCCCTTCTCACCATTGGACTTCATTGGAATTTGCAAAGCGATAGGGTTTGCACCTAATCTACTCTCCAAAGACTCGACGCTCATTGAAAAATCTGCATCCGCCCTGTCCATTTTGTTGATGTACACAATTCTTGGCAGCTTGTGTTTGTCTGCTTGATTCCAAACGGTGCAGGTTTGAGCTTCGACTCCTTTAAATTGATTTTGTTTTAAAAACGCGTTGATATGTATTTTAAATTTTTACTAAATTAATTATTGACTTGATATTTGATGTTGTGTGTTTCAATGTATTTAATGGAGTATAAATAAATGCAAAAAATTAAACTTCACCTGCTGAACCATCAAGAACAACAACAGCACCGTCCAACACTTGCAAGGTCTGTTCGACTTCCATTGTAAAATCGATGTGCCCAGGCGTGTCAATCAGGTTAAACCTGTAGTCATTCCAATCAAAGGTGACTGCGGCCGAGGTAATTGTGATGCCTGGATAAATTTATCAATTCAATAAAATAAATTGCACACTTGTAGTTTAAAACTTTTTACCTCGATTTCGCTCTTGGTCCATGAAATCTGTGACAGTATTTCCATGATGAACTTCTCCCATCTGTTTGATGGTTCCTGAGTAAAATAGCATTCTCTCTGTTGTAGTAGTTTTGCCTATATTTAGATTTTTATTTTTCAAATATAAGTTCGATAAGTTCTTAAATATAGCCCAATTAATTTACCGGCATCAATATGAGCAAGAATTCCAAAATTGCGAATTCTTTCAACGTCGGCACTCCTCAGATCCGATGAGGGCCTTGACTGCTGCCGAGTGCAGCTTTTAATATACACAAGCCCTGCCCTCCGGCTCGGCGACTTAAATTTGCAAAGCTGCCGAAGAATCATTTTGGAACTGAAAATCAATTTATTGTGATTAATTTGATAAAAAAAGACAAAATTAAGACTTACTTCAATTAATAATAACTGGCATCTAAAAATAAAAAGCTAAGCAGCTTCGTTTTCTACAGAAATTTCATCACAGACTTGATTTTGATTGCTAAAATGTAATTTTCTTCCGCACATCGATTCCCGTCGTGATCAAAACAATGCCCCCTCCATGTGTTTGCAAAATTTAAATTTTACCGCCTTATCTGATAGCTCTCTGAATCAAGCGCATGCGCTTTATCATAATGTATTTAATGTAAACAATACATCAACAGTATCCGATCTAGGCGCGGTCGAATATTTTTGTGATGAAAGTTTTAATGTTCTTCTAATTTTTTTCGATTTCTCATTGATTTGAGTCAACCAAAAAATAGTTTCTCTTTCGGTTTTTAAAAAGAGATATCAAAATTTTACCTCCACAAGGCTGCAATCGCACCATGCTCAAAGCATCTCTTTTGGTCCTGGTCTTGGCGTTGATTCACACAGGTTGTTGCCGCATAATTATTTACATAATATGTAGTTTTAATAACCAACCATGATTTTGGAAACCTCCTACGCCTTACCATTTTGATTTTTAACCTTACTTTCTACATTTAGGTGATGCTGGGACGTACTGCTACCGATGTGTTTCGACACACCCTGGATGTGGAACGCCCTTCAATTGGTACTGGCACACCGGGCAGTGGTGTCCGGAGGAGGATGACATGTGTGTCAAAATCATTGAGAGGAAAGGAGGTACAGTAAAAGATCTTACAAGTGCCATTTAATTTAGCACATTATTCTGCACAAATAATGGCAAATAACATTTGACCAAGAAAAATCATTCCATCCCTTTGAGGATTCCTTGAATTTAAAAAAAATCACAATTTTGAATGGTATATTATGCAATAAAATCTTGCGGGAGGGGGATAAAGATTATAAATGATTTATTAAATAATGATATTTTTTAAAAATGGAATAAATTTTTAATTAAACAATTTAGCCAGTTAAAATGAATTTTATACTTCTTTTCAAGTCTTGATCTTTGAAAAAAACTTATTTCATTGCAAAGAAATTAAATTAACATTTGATCCCTAACTTGATCTTTTTGCAGCAACTGAAATGATAACCAGAGACTGCCTGAGCACTGTCAAATCATTCAGAACCGATGTCCCAGCAGATCACTATGAGGGCTGTCGTCCAGCAGCAAAAGACGTCAAGTTGGCTCATTACGTCAACAATTCCATTAATGAACTTGACATAAGAAGGTAAAAAAATTATTAGATAAATTTAAGTTTTATTAAAGACTAAGTCCAAATTTTAAAATTCCAGGGATCACTTTGACCAGACAACTTGGTGTTTCTGCTATTTTGACTGGTGGTGCAATAGTGCCCTCATTAGCGTACCTTCCAAAGCTCTCATGGCAACTGTATTAGTTTTCATCAAATATTTCCTCCAGTGAGACTTTAAATATTGACATTTCACTTGTCTAGTGTCAAAATTTATGTTTGCAACCGTCGTGTTATGAGGATAATTTTTTTAAGAAGAAAACTAAGCTATCTTAATTGCTGTATATTTTATAAGAATCGATCCGAATAGATACAGCTAACAATTCCGTCCATTTTGACAACATACATGAATAAATAAACATTATTATCTTATATAAAATCACTTTTTTAAGCTTTCGCCAAATCACAATATTTGCATTTGGAGCCATTTAAATTGTAGTTGCTGCACTCGACGCACAGAGAAATGTTGTGCTCGTAAATCAAATGCTCATTCATAACACTTTTGGTTTCAAAGTACTCGGCGCAGTAAAAGCAATGAATGACGTCTTCCTCCTCACAGGCTTCAAACTGGTATGCCCGGCTTTCCTCACCAACATATTCAAATTCATGGTCATGCACAAATTCCTCGTGTCTGGCGAGCTGCTCTGCTGTGTGAAAAGTCTGGCCACACAAGAAACTGCTGCACTTGTAAAATTTGATGTCCTCGTGGTTGCTGAAGTGCTCCTTGCTCTCGAAGACCGTTCTACAGACTGGACAGTGGTTGTGCTTGACAATCAGGTGGTCCATCAGGTCAGACTGGTCAAGCGCCAGACGGTCGCAGTAGAGACATGGCATGAGCGGACACGGCCTTATTGTTTTGCGCAAAAGACTCAGATTGAGACGAACGTCTCCTGCAATTTGCATCTCTTCCAATGTCAGCTCTTCTACATAACATTCATTGCTTTCGAGTTCCCGGCTCTTGCCAACTTTCTTTTTCTGGATTGGGGCTCTAACTTTAGAAACGCCAGGTTGCGTGACTGGCTTTGAAGATGCTTGAGTCTTAAGAATCGATAAATTTGGCAACTTGATGGGTTTGAAGGTGAATTCTGTGGATTTCTCAGGTTGAGGCACCGCCTTTGATGACTTCATGTTCTGCAGCAAATTTTCCAGAGCGTCCACGCCATATTCATCATCATCATTCTCCTCCTCCACAGTGGCAGGAGGTTGCTTGGCTGCAACCTGCGCGCTTGCGGTGGGTATAAGAGGAAATTTTTTGACGATCGTCTTTAAATGAAGTGAATAGGAAGGTCTTTTTTCGTTTGAAGTTTTGTGCATTACCCGAGTTATAATACAAGTACCCTGATTGTGTTTTTTGCTCTCAAGGTCCTCAATCACCGAATCAGAGCTCCACATATCTTCGTTATCATCAGCAGTGTAATCAGACGGCAAAGTTACCGATCGAAAGCGGACAATGTTTTGAACATTGTTGGTCACTTGCGCCTTCATCACCCTTGACTCCCCTAACAAGCAAGTGTTGAGATCTTTAATTGGCTTTCTTTGAACGGTTTTTCTGTAAGCGCAAGCGTCACATTGGTTCTTGACGTCTTTAGAAATGAAGGAAAAGCAAAAACAGATCTGGCATTCGAAAATGGCATGAAAAACGCGAAGGTGTCTCTTCAGTAGATCAAATTCATCAAAAGTCAGTTTGCACAAGCCGCAGAAAAATTTTTGTCGCATCTTCAACAGAGGCTCCACTTTCATTACCTTGATGGGCACCCTACTGCAAATGATTTCTTGAAAAGATTCATTTTTGTGAGCCTTCACAAAGTGATCACAAACAGCAGTTACGTCTATAAAGAATTCCTTACAAAAAGGACATGCAACGAACAGCACCACGCCAGATGCATATTTGACCATGTCGGTGCCCTTTTTTTGCGGATGCAACACAGACGTCACATCTGTACACTCCCGGTGGTACTTCAAGATGTGAAGCTTGAGAGTGGCCAAATCTTTATAATTTTCAGAGCAGGGCATGCAGTAGAAAAGCTTTTTGTCTTTACTCGTTGTGACCAGCTTTACCCTTTTGATTGGGAGACTATCAGACGTGCTGGAGGCATTATCTCCAGTAGAACTTGTTCCACCCCTAATGCCTTCATCTGTTGACAAAGTTGAAGACGTTGAGCCTTCCTGAGAACTGCTGTCGTCAGCAAGTGCTGATAATGTGTCACTACTGCATGCAGGACTGCCCACTGAACCATCCCGTGGAGGAAGTTGAATCAGTTTGTAGCCTTTCTCTTTTCCTTTTGAGGCAGAATGCCCTCTTTTTAGAAGGAATCTGGTACTCACTTCAGCTGAATCTCTTCTTGCTGACACCTCACTGCACTTTGAACTTGAAGAACTATCTTGACTTACTGGTTGACTTACTGGTGCAGGTGAGGCAGCAGGTGCAGACGCAGTCTTTGGAGGACTAAGTGTCATCGACGTTTGATGTGCTTGAGGACTTTTAGGTTTTTCAGAATCTGTGAGTTTATTCTGCGTCACTGGATCGTCAACTTGCGCATTGGTGACTTTATCTACCCTGGTTAGGCAAGATTCATTCAGCAGATCCTTCAAATTTAAGCCTCTTTTTCTGAGAAAATTAAGAACCTGCAGTTGGAGAAGAGGGAGAACAAATATTTTTCGCTCTTAAATTAATGTTACAAGAAAACAAACCTCAGATTTATCAAGCAAAACTTTGCACGGCCGAATTTCTAGCTTAGGATCTTGTTGAGGTTGAGGGGTGCTATTTTCGTCTGCTGACAAGTTTTCATTTTCATCCTCATTGTTATTGAGTGGGATTTTTAGTAAATGCACTTTCTTAGGCTTCTTTTTTGGTAAACGAACAAACTGGAATCATAAAAAATACAACTTGATTGAGCTATAAATGGCTCAAATAAAATTGGAGTCAAACTGACTGTACTATATTGCAAGTGATTGCAAGGAAAAAACAATTTTATCTCTTGACAAGTTATGCAACCAGCGAGACGTATCTGTTCAAAGGTTTGCCCACATTCAATAATATAATTAATGGTTTTTTTTAAACCTCATAAACTTGAAAAAATGAAACGTTACTATGTATAAGATTTATGATTTGAAGAAAACAAATCGTAAATACATACATAAAAATAATGCATTACAATAAAATTAAAATTATTTTGGTAATTATCTGATGACTTACCAATTTGTTGCGTCTTCTTTTTGGTTTCTGACTTTCAGTAGTCTTAGGAACATCGTTGCTGATATTTTTAGGATCCAAGCAGCGCGGCTTGTCACAAGCAAGTTCCTGATTTAATGCAGGTTCTGCACTAGCCATATTTGCAGCTTCCGCAGCCAGCAAGAGAGGATTGATACGCTGTAAAAACAAAGAGACAAACAAATAAATGTGCGACCAGTTAAAATCATTGATCACTTGATCAGTGCATACTAATTTTATTTAGTTAAAAAAAACTAATATTTTTGGCAAAAAAATTATAAGACAGTGCTTCAGGAGTAAAATTAACGAATTCTCACACAAATAAGCAATGTGCTTGCGAAAATGCCTCAAACGTTCCCTGCGCGGAATCGCTCAGTTAATATGCATAGTGCTATGCAAAAATCCTATTTACGCCGAATTTAATTATTAATGAGGCTGAGCTGGGCATGATTATTATTGGGCAGACATGACGCGCTCCCCGCTCCACTCCCGCTCTTTAGCAAACTCATCGCTCCGCTCTTTCAATTTTTAAATTTTTTTCGCTCCGCTCGCCGCTCTTTTTGTGATAATTTTATCATTCGTAAAAATCAGTTTGTCTCTATTCCAATTAAACAACTTCACTTTCGGCACTTTTGCGCGTTCTATGGTGTTTAAAAAGTATTGTAACAATTTTCTAAGTAATGTAATTTTGTCATAAATTTCAAATTTTCATTTGTTTTTTTATTCATAATAATTATTGAAGAAAAAATGTTTTTTTGAGTTGCAAGCGCCACCTGTAGGGAGCGCTATAGAAGAGCGAATTTTCGCTCTCCGCTCTTGCCCTGTCTAAAAACCGTCGCTCCGCTAAAGAGCGGAGCGAGAGCGCGGGAGCGACGTCATATGCGTTCTGTTATTGGGGGAATTCAGCCTCCCCGCGGTTAGCTATAGCTTATATAATATATGGTTATCCCGTGAGGATATCTCTAGTGATTGTCCCCCATTATATTCTTAAGCGTACAATTATGTATCAGTCGAAAAAGTTCTTGAGAAAGTCCATGTTTTTGCCAAAGGACGCGGAAAACGAGAGCATTTTAGTGTGGAAAAGTAGACATTTAAAGCAGTAAAAATTATCCGTGAAGCGTCAACGAACTCTTCATATGAAAGCATAGAAAGAAAAGCCTGTTTCTATTTTTTGCGCTGAAACGATAACTATATATAGAAATATATGCACACTGCACGCATTAAATAAATAAACCATTTTAGCTCTCGACGAAACGATCAAACGAATAATATGTTACCGGAAATGAAGGACGATTGCACTTCAGTATAACGTTTTTACCTGTTCCTCAGCAGACCCAAGTTCCCAAGTTTCCAGTGGCTTGAAGATTTCGTGCAGATCGTCGAATCCGACTAAAGGATTGTTCTTTGTCCGTTAAAAACAGAAACGGTGCGCAGCCATGATGCCGGAGAAAGCCATAATGGATGTTGCTCTGCAGTTTTTCGACGCGTGCACCGTGCTGCTTTTGGCGCTAGTGTAGAGAGTCGGCCATGTTAAAGGGGGTGGGGAGTGCAATATGGCACCGTAAAAATAACAGGCGCGGCGTGCCTGTTTTTGCATTGGCTTTAGTTTTAAATTGTTTCAATTCGTCTTAATTTCATACTAAAAGATGTAACACTATTGGTGCTTGTAAAATTTTAGTGATGAATATAATATTTTTAATACTAAATCGTCGATATGCAACAAACATTTTATTGTTTTTCGTTCCAAAAAGTTTTAACATTTTATTGCACAATGGAACTTCATACATTTTATGCTGCTTCCTGCTTCATTGGCGACAGATTGTTAGTATGGAGGCTCTGCAAAAATTCTGGAAGGTTTTTTATCTCTATAGCTATATACCCTCCACACGCGTACGCGACTCAACGGCTATATATTTTGATATTTTATTCAGAATAATAAAATATTGAATTTAAATTTGGAAAACTAATCATCAGGGCTACGGAATTTCGAGATTTAGTACCGCAAATAGCAATTATCATTCAAATCTTTAAAATATTTATGCAACATGCCCACCAATGTACAAAACATATATAACAAATATATGGGATAATTATAATAAAATTTAATGAAATCACACTATATAATTTTTCCTTTATCGCTCTCTCCCTATGCAACTAAGACAATTATGAATTTAATGCATTGTCATAGTACGATAGAGGCACTAAATGCAGAATTCAGAACGAGCACTGAAAAGGTTTATATAATTATAATTAACTGACATAGTCAGATATCTGAGTCCATGGTAGCTTGATAATTGTTAAGGGTGGTTAAAAAGAAACGCTGCTTTTACTTTGTTTTAGTGTTTAGATAGAAATAGAAAGGCATCTATTTAAAAATTTTACTTTTTACCATTTTCACAGTTTCCTACAGTATTTTGTGGCAAAACAAGTATTGTATATATAGTTGAAATAATTAGCAGATAAAACTTTTAGATTGCACAGAAAAAGCATAAATATTTATGACAAGCAAAGAGAGGTCTCTGAGAGCTGAAAAAAATTTAATAATTCAATTCACATTTTTTTTCGTCATTATTAATTAAATTAAATCCAAATTCGGTGGTTAAGAAAATATCGTTCGGCCCAAAAAAGTAGGTAAGGTTTTAATATTACTCCCATTTATTGTTACAAAATGAACCCGCTAAGTAAAGTAACTTGTTAAGCTTGCCCCTTATTTTTTTATCCACAGCACAGCTGATTAGGATTTCTTTTATCTGAGGGGCTGAGACACCTCTTTGCAAGTCATTTAAACACCACAGCATGTTAATAATAAATATTTTTCTCAACAAGTCTTTGTGATATTGTAAAGTTCATTGAAAATAACGCAGTGATCTTGATACGTGTGGGATTTGTAGTCGATTAGCTTCTTGAAAGTCCCATCACACAGCTTACACATGTACCAGCCTCGGGCGTCCTTGGAAACCTCGTGGACCTCGGCATTGTGCTCCTTCATTTCATTATGAAATTTGAAACGCTTGTAACATTTTCGACATTCAAAGGGCATAAAGTTCTCATGGGCTTTTATATGACTATCCATCTCCGTCTGTGAATTGAATTGTTTGGAGCAAATTTTGCAAATCATTCCACAAGGGACTGCCATTTCCTCTTTTTTTACCGGGACAATCGTTTGGAAAATGGTGCTGTGCTTTTGAACTTTATGCAAGAGCAATGACTTGTGGTTCATCAAGCGCATTTTACAAATCTCACAGAAGAAACCGCATTTCTGTTTGTACAGAACTTTCAGACTCGGATTAGATGTGTTGCCCTGGACGTGCTCGACCAGCTTCTTATGCGACGGGAAAATGTGATCACAATCTGAGCACTTGAAAAATTTGTAAGACGTTTGCACGTTCTGCTCCGTTTTGTATTCCACATTCAACACAAAGTCCGAGTCTTCCTGATTTTCGTTTCCCTCGATGCTCGCACTGTCCTCGTCAGGCAACGAGTACTCTTCGTCGTCGCACTTGAAATTCTTCACAGATATCAACGGCAGGCTCTTGTCGTCCAGGGGCTGCATTATTTCAGACGCAATTGATGATATTTTTGAAGGAGACAAATCCAGATCCTCCCCACACTTGATGATTATAGCTAAATATTAAATTTAAAAGTTATGGTTTCTTTTGGAAAAAATATAAAAACAAATACCATGATCACTAGAAAGCGAGCTCTCTTTAAGCTGCATTTCGATGCCAGGCTCCACCTTTACTTTGACTAAATCAGGTGACAAACACCTGTCATACTCTGAAAATTTTATTGCATTTATATTTATTTATTTTTTCACCCAAAATTATTTTTTACCTTCTGAGCAATCATAATTTGTAGGAACAGAATCACAGAGTGGAGAAGGGGCAGCTACGAGGAAAATAAAATCAACAAATTGCATAATAAATTTAAATCAACTCCATTTACCAGAATTAGAATCATTGCTTTCTATTTTCACATCACAGCAGTCGGCTAGCAGCTGAATCAGCTCAAATTTCAGTGCACACGAAGAAGATGAATGACCATAAGCATGGTCAACCTCGTGACTCGCTTGGGTTATCTTCTGGATTTTCTTTGGAAGAGCAGATCTAATGACTGAGAGAGCTCCCCTTTTTCCAATTTTGTAGTTTGGCATGACTCTGTGAAAAATAAATTAAATTACTGCATTTTTATCCATCCAAGCCTAAATATTTAAAGAGCTATTAAAAAAATGCTTATATAAATAAAATAATATTTAATATTATATAAGTAGTATCCTGTAAATTTTAATTTAATTAAGAAAAAAAAATAGATCAAATATATTGATACTACATCAAAAAAGTCAATTTCAATAACAGGAAAATATTTTCGTTCCTTTGAAAACGGATCAATTGTATAGGTTTGGAATTTTAAACTTTGGAAGATAATGTATTCATAGAAAACAACAAGATCGAAGATTAATATTTTGTCCACGCAGAGCTTTCCTCCGACGAGAATTAACTAGAAAAGAGCGAGCTCCAAAAAGCTGCGGTGATTTATCTTTAAGCTGATTTTATTGTTTGATCAAAATAAAAAATAAAATATTAAAGGATTTCTATGCAAATTTTACAAAAGTCTGCACTATGTAGGGCAAGGGCGTTACGAATTACCAGCACATATGATCGCCAGTCCTGTTAATAGTTCGGACTCTTCAAAATCTTGAATAAAGTGCAAATTCTATGCGGCGGAGAGTGGTTTGCTGCAATGGGGTTCCCATGCTGACTATTTTTCCTCTGAAAACAATCTTTGCAGATGCACAGGGTCAGTGCTTCCAAAAGTCCTTAAAAATTATTTCCTAGTTACCTCTGCAGCTGGTTCGGCTAATGTTTTGGTTGCGCACGTCAGAGGATGAAAGGGTCACTGGCCAATGAAAGGCGCCGTAAAAAGCAGCGGGAAACGATAATTTTTCGGTCAATTTTGCTGCGCCGTCATTTTATTTGAACGCTAATTAAAAGCTTAATTGATATTTAGATGCACTGGCCTTTGTGTTAAAAATTACCTTCATGTTATTTGCATTTAGTAGCGTTAATAATCTAACGACGTGTAATTCGGATGCATCTGTTTTGGAAAAACAACAAACTCCTTAATTGGTTGGCATCATTGAAGGTCGTCTGGGCGAGTGGGTTCAGTGGGTGTTAGAACCACGCCCCCTTCCCCCTTGCGATCTACCACCCCACGTTTGGCCGGGTCTCCAAAAATTTTCGAGACAAAAATCTTTAGTAATATTTTACTTTGTGACGTTATTGAATCGTAAGTTTTTGGTGTTTGTCTATGTGTTTTGAACTTAAAAAATAGCAATTTTTGCCTTATGTATTTTCAATATCCTTCTGAGAAAAAGTACGAAATGTAATAATCTCATGTTCGTTTTGGCCTTACACACGTTGCATCATTATCTATCAATTTGGACTTTATTGCATCAATGTTGTGATAATTATTTCATGCAGCGTATATGTACTAATAATTTTTTTATTTTATAGAAGCGGACAAATAATGGCATCCATGTACAAAGTGAAGCCAATTTTTGTGGCTAACCAAGTTACCGATCTTCCGACATGCATGTACCAGATGAAAAATCTCCACGGCACCCCTGAGAATGTGGAGTTTTTGAGCCCTGCAAACGGCCCGACAATAGTCCAGTTGAACGAGGTGAGTTTTTGGTCAGTCATGATTTTTTTATTAATAACACAAAAAAATTAGAGCAAGCACGGCAGTCGAGAGCGTACCCCGTCAGAAGTCGCAAAACTGGAAGCTGTCCAGGAGGATATTTTATTGAAGCTGAACAACCTGAAAAGCAAGCTCGATGAACTCAGGAAATTAGTCAAGGAACCTGTTACAAAGGCACCTACCAAGCAGCAGCAAACAACTCTCAGCACAGCCTATGATGTATTTTTTTTTCATGAAAATATCCAACAAATTAACATAAAAAAATTTATAGTTCTCGAAAGTTACTGAAGCTGTTGTTGCTGCCAACCCGTCAAACCCTCCATACGCACTTCTAGCTCTTCAGAAAATATGGTCTCCAGAAATTGATGTATCCATCTCAACCTATTCGCATTCGTCATTGAAGCCCAAAGTGCCGAAGACGCTGAACGACCTCTTCAACACATCTTCCAAGCTACAGGGCGTACCCACCCTGATGATTCGAATTATTTGGACTCCTGGTACATTTTTTAAAATAGAAATCAACGTTCAAATAATTCATGTTTCTAATTTTTCAGTCAAGCAAACTCAAATCATCACTTCACCAGCTAAGCAGATAATTTGCAGTGAAGTAAATATTCTGCGTCTTCTCTCACGATTTGGACCACCCACAACAAATATAGACTCTCTCTCGGCAGAAGAGGCAGCTTCTGTCGACCAGCTTCTGGACTTGCTGCACGGGGCTGCCTTGAAAAATGGTTCCTCTAGCTTTATCAGTAAACTCGCTCCGGAAGGACCTGACGGCTGGCTACTGAAGAAAGGCCCTAGCATTGCTGATTTTGCCCTTTGGTCGTATTTAAAAAATGAGAAATCTGTCAAGTGCTCTGGCAAATTGGCCACTTGGCAGAAGAAATGTGACAAGCTGTTCAACTAATAAAAATACAAAAACAGATTTTCTCAAAAACATATTGTTTTATATATTTGTTAGATATAAGAGATATAAACTTAAAGGAAGAACCTCCTCCTACTGGTCTCCATTTCGTGCCTTCGGCCGGTGATCATCCATTCGTAATCTCCAAATTTGGAATCAAAAGTACCTTGCTGGAGAGATCTTAACTTCAGGGTGAACCTAGGGCCTAATTCTCTCAGTTTCACCTTCTCCTGGTTCTTGAACTCATATCTGTGATGCCTGAAGAAAATGTAGTCCCTCTGGTTGTGGAAAGTCACAGCCCGCCGACCCTTGTAGTCCGGGTCGTAGTGGAAAATTGCAGCTAACATTCTAGACAAATATTGAAAATCAAAATTATTATTTGCTTATTCTCAAATATTTTATAACATTAAAAATTATAATTTATAGAAAAAGAAAAAATTTTAACCTAGATACTGTGTAGCCTAGCCTGGTGGTGAAGTTATTGAGGATGACCTCAGGTCGGTGGTCAGTGAATTCCCTTTTGTCCACCTTGATGTGCATCTTTTTGCTGAGCTTCACATTGCTCAGTCTGAAATGGGCTGTTGGCCCTTCAGGCAAATGAATCAGCAACAGTCCATTAGGTTTGCCCATGTCCTCATTGATGACAACGATGTCGGTGTAATTTCCCTCCTTCTTGCAGCTCTCGATGATTTTCTTTACGGCAGCTCTTTTGCGGAAGTACGAATGTGCATTTGGAATGATTCGGCAAAGTTCTCGTCCAAACTGGACGGACCGCTTGTTGGTGTTGTCCGAGTAAGTGACGAGCACTTTTGGCTCATAGGTGTGTTCAAAGTATTTGCTCAGCTCGTCGGTCTGCAGGTCCAGCTCGACCTCTTCCATCTGCTCCTCATTGGCCTCGTCGACAGTCGTCTCGTCCTTTTCTCGCATACTCTCAATGGTCTTGGGCACTCCTTTCTCGACACCCATTTTCTTTCTCTCAGCCTTGATCTTCTTTTTTTCCTTAGTCGCCTTCCTTCGCAACTTCTGCACCATCTCCCTGCGGAGGATTTTGTTCCTGATGTCATTCACGTACTGCGGAATGCTGAAGTCCGGCATGGCAGGAACTGCACCTTCGTCGCCTTCCACAGCACCTGACGAGTCACCTGACGTTTTGGGGTCTCCTCTTTCTTTGGCCGGCTTGGCACGAACCTTTTCACGCTTAAATTTGGCCATTATTGAGTCTGGAAAAAGAGAAGATTTTAAAACTTTGAACTGTTGGATTTTTAATTGACCCACGTGTGTTTTGGCTGTGCTGTTTTATTTTTTATATTTAGTTTTCATTGTTGCAGATGGTGGCGCGGAGATCGTAAAGTAGGCCTACCAATTCGCAAAGCGCCACCCGGCGCCACCTAACACACAGATTCGGAAACTCTAAGGGATAAGGGATTTTGCATTTTGCGAGAGGTCGACGGTTGATGTGTTGTCAACACGATTTGCAAACTCTTCTCAACTACAGAAAAACTGCGATAGCGTAGGTAATTATCGTTTAATTCAGCACTTAAGTATTCATTCCGTGCCTTCAAATCACAGACAGCTTCCTTCTCGGGAGCAATGGACCTGAAATCTCGCGCTAAGTTGCGCGTCATTTCGAGCTCTCTTGTCCCGCTACATTAGCTGCAGATTTCTAGACCTTTCTCTCACCGCCTACCGCTGGCGCTGAACATGTTCAACCAAAAATGAACCTGTTCACACACTTTGATTCTAGTCATTATCAAATAATTTGCATTTTCAGACCGGCGAAATCATGTCTGGAATCGCGATAGCCCGACTGGCTGAGGAACGGAAGGCATGGCGCAAAGACCATCCGTTCGGCTTCGTCGCCAGACCCACCAAGGGAACCGACCAGAGCCTGAACCTGATGATCTGGGAGTGCGCCATCCCCGGCAAGAAGGGCACCCCCTGGGAAAACGGAGTCTACAAGCTCAGGATGATTTTTAAGGAGGACTACCCCTCGAGCCCGCCAAAATGCAAATTTGAGCCACCACTCTTCCACCCAAATGTCTACCCATCTGGTATGAATTGAATTAAAATTCATTAACCTATTTTAATCAACTGAATAATGCTAAAGGCACTGTGTGTCTGTCCCTGCTGGACGAGGAGAAAGACTGGCGTCCGGCCATCACGATCAAACAGATCCTGCTCGGAATCCAGGATTTGCTGAATGAGCCAAACATCAAGGATCCTGCACAGGCTGAGGCCTACACCATATACTGGTGAGAGGAATCGATCATTTCACTGAGCAAGAACTTAATTTTCTTCCAATACTTCGTTTTATAAATTTATCTTCTCTTTGGGAAAATTCATTTAAATCCCAATGGATTCTGAATTTTTTTTAATTCCTAGTTTTCCTGTAAACTTTTTTAATTCTTGTTATTTTTAACTCATATTTTTTGTGTCTTTACAGTCAGAACAGACTTGAATACGAAAAGAGGGTTCGAGCCCAGGCCAGGGCCATGTCCGTGGCCGAGTAAGTGTCTGCAAGATTGAGCTTTGGTGTTGACGGTGAAGCGTGATGCTGGAGATAATTGTGGACTCGAATATTGTGTATCTGCAGTAGTGTCGTCTGACTGCATTGGTTGGTTACTCTATTCTTCTTCTTGGCTATAGACTTGGTTCCTGTGGATGATATTGAAATTGCCAGCCAAGTGAGGAGTTATAGCGTAATAATTTATCGAATCAACTTCTCCAAAGTCGGTAGAAGTCTCTTTTATCTAACCAACTCATTAAATGTAAAAAATTTGATCGGTTACTTATATCAATGTTTCAATGCAATCTTATTTTCTATTTCGGACGTTTCGGTTCAATCATAATCCGTGTAAATCATAAGTAAATAAAAATAATTAAACTTATCTTCGTAATTTAAATTTCACTTTATTGTGTTTCATTTTTGTTTTCTTGAGATAAAAACTTAGAAATAACTTTATTTGGCAACCTCCAAAGTGCTCCAAAGTATGCAAAATAAAAAAAGGCATGAGCTAAAATATTGCCGAAAAATAATTATTGCCGCCTTGTGAATTGATGAAATTAGTTTATAAAATATGATAAAATATTTATTAGAAATCTAAAATGCAAATCTATATTGAAGAACACGATGACGCGTAAAGCGATATATGATAATTGGCTAAAAATTTGCCTGAAGTACAGTAAAAAAAAATATAATATGTAGTGGGGGTATCAGGGGGATGTCATTTTTTAGAAACCCCCACGCCCCTATTTTCAGCTGCAGTTCAGTTGTAAACAAACAACTGGCGCAAGTCCAATTTGAATAATATAATATCACTTTTGGTGTCATTTTTCATCACTTTAAATTCACATTTTCGTGATAATATTTGCGCTTTTGACGCATCAAGCCTCTAGTTCTCCTTCAGCAAAAAAGAGGCAGTCTATTTAGGCCGCCGTGCTGTGAAATTTGATCTTCTGTCAAAAGCAGTCATGTCACACATCCAGTACTTGGACGAACTAGTCAAAGAATACCTCCTATTCCGGGGATTTTGCAACACCCTGAAAGCCTTTGATGGTGAATTGAAAACAGACAAAGACAAGGGATTCAGGGTTTGTAAATTTAGGCTTTGACGATATTGGACAGAAATAATTTTTATCAATTTTTCCAGGCTGATAAAATTGTTGACCAAATTGTACTTTACGTCAATTTCTACGATTTGACGTCTCTCAGAGAATTATGGGCACATTTAGACCAACGGATGTTCTCCAAGTTGGAATCTCACTTTGCTCCTGGTATTTACATAAATAATTGCAGGTTGTGTTTTTAATTTTTGTTTTTTAAAGCAATCCGAAAGCTGGAAACGTCTGTCTTGAAATACTATGTGGTCAATACAATCTCAAATAACAAAAACGATAAACTTTTGGATTTCTTTAATAAGATGGCTTCAGAGTTGCAAGGCCAATCAGAATGGAAAGATTGGTTTGGTAAGCATTTTATCAAATCTATTTTAAATTTGGTTCTAAAATGTTTAATTCAACAGCTTTGCCCTATATCAGAAATCCAGAAGAAAGTCACATTTTTGCTGTGTTCTTTACTCGTCATTGGCAAGATACTTTACTAGCATCTTTACACAATTTCCTCGCCATCATTTTCCAAGTATATCTTTAAAGTAACTCTTGCAATTAAATAAATTAATTAATTTTAAAAATCAGAGCATTCCTCTGCCTACGTTGGCAAGCTTTGAAGACGAGGCTGTAAGGATGAGGAGGTTGACAGAAGAGGTCGAAACACTTAAGTCGAAACTTTCAGCAGTTGGTTTCCAAGACCTAGAGGGAAAGTCAAGCGCAATCGAAAGTTCTCGAACTGAACTTATGGATGACTTCTACATTATTGGAAAAAGGTATTGAAGCTTTGACAAAATTTTCTTCATAGGCAGATCTATTTAATAAATGATAATTTATTTCAGAGAAACAGTTACTGCTGTTCCAACTATTGAGAACCAGTCACTCTCTCTGAAAAGTATTATGCGCAACATAAGCGGTGGGATTCCAACTTCTCCGATATTAGGACGAAAACAACAACAAACTTGTATTAAAAAAGCTGTCTTTTTTAAATACTAAACAAATAATTTGATCAATAGCAACTTCATCTCGACGAGTGGTTTCCTCTTCTAGCATGGACGAGAAACGGTCCAGTAGCAAGACAAGAATCTCCACACAGCGCAGTATTGGTGCTGATGTTTCATCAAACCAAAAAGTTGACTCAAAATCCAGCCCTAAGCCGAAAGAAGATCTCGAGGCAGCCGTCCCGCCAAAAATTCCAGAGGGCTGCCCTTTTTTACTTCTTAGTCAGGTAACTTGCTTGAATTATTGGAGTATTTTCCAATTCCGGCTCATTTTTTGTTCAGGAATGGCAAGAGTTTCACAACAGCGCCATAACTCAGTGCAAATTCAACAATTCCGGGTCTCTGGTCGCAAGTGGAGATGCTGACGGAGTGGTCAAAGTGTGGTTAACTTCTCCGGCACCAAAGTAATTCAAAACTTTCATTTGCGTAGGGTGAAACATAAAAATGTAAACTTCCAGGGTTATAGCTACATTCCAATGCAAAGCCAATGTTGTTGCTATTGACTGGCTCGGGAAACATGAAAGATTTTTCATACTCGGCACCAAGGCAGGATCAATTTATTTGTGTGACTCTGCCGAGAAGAAAATAGTGTGGGAACTGGGAAACCAACCTGGTTCTCCTTTAAAGGATTCTAGGTAAATTTAAATAACTGGAAGATCAAAATTCAATAAAATTATCAATTTTCTAGGGTGTTATATGTTTGCTGTAGTCCGAGCGAACCGCAAATAGTGTGCTCTCTTGCATTTTCCTCTTCGACTAGCAGTGGGGATTATACATCACAAGGAAAACTATTCTTGCTGGATGTTAAAACAAGGAAACTGGAGGCATGTGGTTAATTTGCTAAGTTTTAAATTTATCAATTTTATTTCAAACTTAGAGATCTTTGTCTTTGATTGGTGACTCGTCGCGCTCCGTTTTGGTCGGTTGCTGCACATACAATCACAATGGGCAGTTGCTTGTTGCTGGTGCGACGGATGGAGTGGTTCGAATTTTTGACATTCGCAAGGGCGAATGCGTCGACTCGTGGTTGGCTCATGATGGAAGCGTTTTATCCCTTCAACTCTCTTATGATTTCACTTCCTGTTTTACGCTTGGACAAGATGGCAAAGTATTTGTAGTGAAGTTTATTTTATATTTTGATTCAATCCCTATTTTGGCAGTTTTGTCAGCGAAATTTGAATCAGTCTGGACACCGAGTTTGGGAAACGATGCTTCCTGAGCCACTTGCGTCAGGAATACACGGGCAGCTCTTCACTTTCGAGCAATCTGGACGGTATGTGCTGATGTGTGGACGCACTGAAGACTGCATTAATCAAGTATGTTGGATTGAAAAAAAAGTATTTGTTGCAACATCTCACTCAAATAAAACTTAAAAGCCTCACTTTATTAAATTAATTTTAATTATTTAAAAATTTACTCTAATATTGAAGGGATTTCTCAATAATCTTCAATTAATTTAAATTTTAGATCACTCCGCAAGGATTGTCACTAGTTTTGTCTCTCGGCATGAACAAAGGTGGCGGCGGACAAGGCGCTTTTTCAACAGCAGTCGACTGGTGCAGCGCCAACGACTGCAGCACTTGCATTGTGGGGATGTCAGATGGAAAGATCAAGATATCAACTCTGTTGCAACAGTGAAGATAATCTCTGAAAAAAACTTAATATGCATACATGTGTGATTTTGAAAGTGATAATAAATTTTCAAGAGGATATCATAATCGGAGAAAAACCCACTTTTAATCTCAGATAATTGATAATTTATTTGGCAGATAACATATTGATTTATTTTTATTTAATCGTTCATTTTCAATGCAATAGAAAAGCTCGGGACATTAGCCAGAATTTGGTGGCACTAATTAAGAACACAAAATTGCATCACAACTGTACAAAGTGGTTGTTAGTGTCAATTAATATGGAAGGTATTAAAGATTTCTGAGCAACAGAACATTATAATTATTATAAACCACGTAAATAACTAAAAAAGAGGTATACAGATTTTTTATAAAATGAAGAAGTTCTCACAGTAGCAAAATCATAAAAAATAGTGTGTACGAAGTCGACTTATAAGGTTGATGATTCAGTGAATTCAGTTTACTTGTCTTCAGTTTCTTCCGGGTCGTCATTGCTCTCGTTGCCAGCAATGGAAGGAACACACGAGTCCTCCTTCTTGCTGATCTTCCTTTCAATAAGCACAGTGACATGAACCTTGCCTTTGCTAGTGGAGATTAAACGCAGCATGTCCACCGTGGCAGAGAACGCCTCACTTTTGTTGTAGTAGTTGGAAGGTTTTTGCTCGTCGGACAGAACCGTCCTTTTGAAGGTTATTCCACGCTCAATCCCATCTTTCTCTTTCTCCATCTGGAAAATTAAGAGTAAAATGCAAACCACTGTAAATAATATTTTAAAAATTACAAACAATATTTTCTTACATTGAGAGAATGGAGTGTAAAAAGAAATTTTTTGTAAAAAAATAAACATATGAAATGGTTCGAAAAATAATAGCAAACCTTAAACTGGAAAGTGAAGTTCTTTGCGTTGTCTATCGGTCCAAGGTAGATGACCGCACCATGAACCAGGGTGTTTCCAGGACCGCGTTGAAAGTTGACACGAAACATTTCGTTGAAAGCGTGCAGGACATAGTTGCGACTTGAGTTGGCCAACATTTGGATAGGGAATGAAATGACAATGTGGTTTCCGTCGTGGATCAGTCCGCTATGCACGCTTCGAACGTGAGGAACCAGTTCAGAGTGAACACCTCGCCAGTCACAGCCCTGCGCCATGCAAGTGTAGCGCCTGTGCTGGCAGTTCAGTTCATGGTGTCCTTTATTCTAAAAGCAAATTCAAACATTTTTAATTAAATAAGTTAGATATGTCTTTAAATTATTTTGATAATAAACTTTACTTAAAAATACTTATTTTCAATCCTTACCTTCAAAAGGTACATCTCACAGCAATTGTCATGCTTGCAGGGGTATCTGATCATTTCAACAATTCGCTCCAGCACCAAGTTCCTCAAATCTGTGAACCTCGACCTGCAAGTAGGACAGTTGACCAGTTGGGCGCGGCAGCTGCTGCACACAAGGTGGCCTCGTCGGCACTGGTGAATTGGCGGCCCCATGTACTCGAGGCACACAGGACACTCGATCATGGACAAAATGTTGCTGTTGAGGCCGCTGCCTTCGTCAGACATCCTCAAGCGTTTGGCCGGTGGAGGGGAGGCGGTGGTGTCCAGAACTGGGGTGTCTGTGGACGAGGGGATGGTAGTTGGACGGGTGAGGGAAAGGATTGGTGTGGAATGATTGTTGGCGTTGATGACGACGGGAGGAGATCCATCTCTCTGGTTTGTAGCGTAACTGTGGTCACATGTCGAGTTCTCGGCATCAGTCATGGGAGGCAGGATTGCAGGTTCACTTGCTGAAAGAATTGGAAATAAATTAATATAAAAATGTTTTCAGAAAAGTAAAAATTGATTATAAATACAAAATGAATTAATAATTTATATTAAAAAAGTATACAAAAATTTATTGTTATTTTTCCTTTAAATCATTTTACAACAATCTAAACTTACAGATGTCTGCACTCCTCTTGACGTAACGAGCCTCAGCACGCGAGCGCAAAATATCCCTCTGGACTAGTTCAGCTGGGGTGAGGGTCAACTTTCCTAGGTTGACAAACATCCTGTTCCTGAAGGTGGGCGCCGTATACTTGGTGGTAGCGCTACTTCCAGATGACTCGCTGCTGACCGAAGCCACAGAAGACGTGGTAGAGATTGGAGCAAGAGTGCCAGAAGCTGGGCCACCGTTGGTCCCTGTCGAAGCTTCGTTGCGAGGCGGTCGTTCTGGCTCAGGGTTGTTCTTCACTTTGTACACTATGCGTTGCATGCAGGCGGCCGAGACCAATTCCTCCTCAGGATCAATTCGCTCCTTCTTGACGTACGGCTGTTTCATTCTAGGCGAAAAACTGCTCTCGTTCAGGCCCTTCTCCTCCCAGTACTCCAACGATGAGTCCGAGTCGGTGTCGTTCAAAGGTGGTATGATGCGCCGGTAGCTACCGCTTGGTCCTGCGCCTCCTTTTCTCCCACTTTCCATGGCTACAATAAAGGAAAATATTCAATAAATAAATTCCGAATTAAAATTTTTATTATGAAAGCGTTTTAAGGAGAAATAATTACAAACTAGGGGGTTGTAAATTATGCAAATTTAATAAATAAATAAAACTAGTTAATGGTTGCGCAAGATATTACAAAATATCACTTTCGCAATTAAATTTTAACAACAAATTTTAACTTCTATGTGCTAATTATAATTAGAAACCAAATTGTTTCACTTCTGGATCCTTATTATAAATTTATTAAGCATTGTAAAAGGTCCAAGGACTTATAAAAAAAGCCTGGAAAATTTCATAATTTCATGATGCATTCGGAAGAAAGCATAAAACCCTGGGGAGAAGTGTTCTTAAAATGGAAAATGCAAAATTTAAATTTGAAAATTCGTTACGCATTATGGTCATTACATAAAAATAAAATTATGTAGCGGAGAAATTTTGCGAAAAATTTTGAAACATTCGTGCTCAAACAAGAGAAAGGTCAGAATGCAAACGATGACTATTATGACTAACCAATTCAACAAACACAGTTAAATTGCTGCATTCCTAGAAGGAACTTCTGGAGGACTGCGGAGAAAAATGACGGCTCGTAGATCAGTCGATGGGATTACAATAGAGTGGATCTAGATTCAAAATGCACTCTCTGTCTAGCCGAACTTTCCCTCTTTGCAGTTAAAAGACTCCACCTCGCATTATCGTCATCAAAAGCTCCTTATTGCAGCAGTAAAATGCAGTTTTCAGACCACCAATGCTATGCTACAATACGTTTCCTCCATAATCCCATATCCGTAAACAAGAACACTCGCACCACCTACCGGCAACCTCTAAAACTAAAATGGTATCTACATTTTGGATTATCTTTCCTCTCAAATCTTTATTTCGATCAATTAAAATTTCCCCATTACATTGCAATTAACATCTGTACAAAAATGCATTTGTTCTTATATTCGCAAGTTAATTAGTTCACGATGTATAGTTAAGTTCAAGTTGATAATAGTAAAATTGTAAAAAATAATTCATAATTATCAAATTTTTCGATGAATAATCCAATACATCTTAACAATTTAAACTTAATACTATTATTTATTGTGTTTTAATGAACTTTTCCTCTTAAAAAGGTACAAATTTCCAGTAAAACTTGTGCATTATTTTAATTTTACGAAATAATTTTTATTTATAAGAGAAGTGATTATTTCTTCGCCTTGACCTGGGCAGCAATGCGGTCCAAGTCTCGCCTGCCCTGGGAGGTGAGGCGACGGCCACCATCGGGAGTCTTCTCAACCAGCTTCAACTGCTCCAGGGACTGCAGGGCCTTCCTGGCCACGGATCCGGAGCTTCTGCAGAAGTGCGACGGGCACACACCGTTGCGCTTGCGGCCTGCAATTTTTATCAAGTGTTTATTTTTCATACATAATGGAATTGAAACAATTGTCAGTGGTTTAATATAAAATGCAATAATCACCTCCGAAAATCTTTTGTGTGGTTCGGACACCAATGGGTGCTCTGATGTAAAGATGCCTGGCAATGGCAGAACACCTGGTAAAATACCAGTCCTCATCATAAGGAGCCAGTTCCTTGAATTTGGCTGTTTTGACGAGGTCGACCCATTCAGGGACCTTCATTTTACCAGACCTGCAGAAAATTTTAAAAATTCAGGTTTAGTCACAACTTTCAGAAGAGATTCCCAATTAAAAGTCTCACATTTTGAGGAATGCAGCAAAAGCCGTGACAAACTTGGCTTGGTCAACATCTTTAACCGTTACGGAAGGCATCTGGAAAGCAAAAATATTTAGTTATAAGGGTACATTTCACATTATTCAGGTTCAAATTTTGCTTTTGAACCAATGACCACAAGCAAACAGCGGTGAAAACAAACCCGCACCACGTGTGTGGCCGATTTGCATGTAAATACGACACGAGTTAGATTGTAAATGTGTTATTTCTTAGCATTCGATCACAAATTAGCGAAATTTAGTGCAAAATTACGATTAATTGAAGATTTATGACCACTTTTTTGGCTAAATTACGGCCACGCTGTCATTAACTTACTTTGAAGACCTACAGGAAAATATGGCGGACGAGTTTCAGCATTTGAATGTGAGGTGGCGCTTCATGCTCATGAAATTTTGTTGAAAGTTGATTTGAAATTTGGCGCGAAAGACATTTGGGCAGTCCAGCTTTTGACTTTGTAAGAATAGGGTAGCATAGCATTATTTTTATTTCACGATATTAATATTATTAGCCATTATTAGCTTTCAAGTCCTGGACCCCCTGATGTACGAAACCAATTTTTCATATTTTATTTTGTTGTATGTAATTTTATTACTGTGTTAAAGTAGCCCCAAAGTAACAATTAGTAGGAATTTAAAGCCCAGTTAGATAGAGAACTTGTAACTCTTTAAGAAAAACAATTTATCCTTTGGAATCCCTGGTCAAGTCACGGGCCTTGTCGAGGCGCCAGGCGCGCCAGGGCGTTGCCGGTGTTGGGGTCTGACGCGCGCGGTTAGTAAATTAAGCTAACATGCAGCGCCAACCTTAAAATTTTTTCAAATTTGCGTGGTTTCTAATAGATTTACAATTTATTTCTCATGTTGCATGTTGTTTTTAGTCCTTATAACCCTAATTCTTCTTTTTTTCGGAAAAAAATATTTTTTATTAGGTTCTTATTCTTATCTTACAAGTTGTCAATATTTACATTTTCATTTAAATTGTATAAAAATCTGAATTTTACTTTAAAAAGGAAAAAAATAACGCTTTCAATTCTGGACACAAAATATACGTATCATATCCTGGGAGGGGAGCCAGAATTGCAAGTAATTTTATGATTTACTTACACAAATTATTTAAATATGCTTTTTAACACTTTTTAATTTAAATGACAATTAATAAATTTCGCAAAAAGACCTGTTGGTTGATGCCCAATTATTCTCTCAAAATAACATTTAAAAATTCAGCAGAATCAGAGCTAAACTTTCAAAATTGTATTTAATAATAACATATAAAAAATTCATCCAATTTTAATCTTAAGTTTGTTTGTTTTCCATGCCTGTTTTTCAATTAATCGATTTATTTTTATTCTTTGTTTCCTCGAACTCTACTTCCACGTTCCACTTCATTGTAATTATTACGGCGCACCAAATTAATATGCTGCCTGCCTGCCTCGGGTGTCGTGCGGGTTGCCTGTCGCGAATCGTAAGGCGCTCGGCTCGCGCACCACAGCAGAGTTGTCACTCTCTCTGCTGCCGAACGAATCGTTAATAAGCTGTCAGGGAATGCTAATTTATCACTCGCAATAGGTCTCCTCGTGCTGCAGCTGCTCGCTCGCGGCACTCGTTCCCAACATGAGACAAGCTAGTTTGCAAACTTTTCTGCTTTTATTCCTTTTATTTTTCTGTGAATGCCACTTCGGACAGGCTGCTTTGACATTCGAAGCGGAAAACGAGAGCGCCTTTGACATTTCAGCTTTTCATTCATTCAACTCCACGAGGTAATCAAAAATAAAAATATAAACTCGAAAGTATTTTATTAAATTTCTGTACAGGTGCTTTTTCTTGATCACAAGTGACACGCTTTTGCAAAACACAATCTTCGACCGGGTCAAATTAGACTCGCCGGTGTTAATTTTGGAGAATTTTCAGTCCATTTCTGAAATGATTCAGCTACACAACTGTGTCGATTTTCTACTCTTGCTGGGCAGAGACTGTTGCTCGTTTTTTAGGGTGATGTCGAAACTCTGGAGACACACCAGAGTGAGAGCCGAGGGAAAAATAATCGTAGCTCTGGAAGATCAGGCCACGAAGAAAAACTGCGTCAACTGTATTATTAACACGGCTCTTGCTGAAATGATTCTAAGCGTGGTGATCACAAAAAATGGAAAACCCTTGGATAAAGTGGACTGTGGAGAAAATCTTCAAGGCAGAAGAATAGAGGTGCCATTTTTATTAAATTGAATAGGGTTGAAATCAGGTGTAAATATTATTCTATTATGAAATTTCAAGTAACAATTAAAGAAGAAAACGTCTATTTTCAATCTTGACCATAAATTTAAGAAATCACACTCTTTTAGGATCAAGCAAACCCAAATAAAAGTGATATAATTATTAAAAATAAAATAAAACCAATACATAGATCCAGGTACTTATTCACTGAAAAATAATATTCCAATTGCCAACGTGTATTTACACATTGTAGCAGGGAAAAATTTAATGCTGTCATAAATTATGTTCGGGAAAAATCAACCGATTTAGGATTTCAAAATTAGAAGCAGCAAATATTATTTGACCTAAAAGAAACCTCGCAGATAAGGAAATTTTTAAAAATTTAAAAGGTATGTTTGCATAATAAAATTAGAGCAAGGCTTCGTGTGAAAAAAAGCATAAGTTCCTATTTTCACAGGTTACGTCCTGCGCACATGGGTAACAAAAAGTGTTCATTTATGCACTCATTTTAAATCTGGCAGCGCCGAAATTCGTCAAATACAATATTATACAATTGAAATTAAATATTTTATATTTTTATCAACTTATGAATTTTCAGGTGTTTGATAATTAATTCAGAGTAATTGAACATTTTTAGGTGGCAGCGATTCGTTACCCGCCATTCATCACCTATCCAGAGTGCGGCTTGTACAACTGCTCATCGTCGGATGTCATCGTGGACGAGGAGCTAATTGGCAAGCTGGACGGCACCGAGTTCCGCATTTTGCAGCACTTGAGCGTAAAGTTCGGCTTCGGCACGCGGCTGCTTCTTCGACAACAATCGGAGTTGTGGGGAATGGTGTACGATAACGACACGGCGTCCGGGGTGATTGGCATGATAAAAAACGGCACCGTGCACGTCGGAATCGGCGGCTTTAATTGGGACCTCCGCTTTTTCGCGCACGTCGATCAACTCGCGCCCTACAGACGCACGCTCGTCAAGTTCCTGTCGCCGAGACGCGACTCCTCGGCTAATTGGCTCTCGCTCGTGCACCCCTTCAACCTTGACATCTGGCTGTCGATCGCCCTGGTGGTGCTCGCGGCCGCCACCTGCCTCTACCTTGCGCTACGCGTCGAAATCGGTCCGAGCGCCGCCGACTTTGTCCTCACCTTGTTGGTCTCCCTCAGCGTTCTGGCCCAACAGGGCGACATTCCAAGAGTAAAAATTTCATAGTTATTATTTTTTTCATTCAAATTATTAATTTTTAAATAGAGGAACTTTAATTATTCAAGGGAAGATAATTCTTATAAAATCCACTGACTATTATAAATTAGAAGGATGGTTAAATTTTAACATTTATTCAACATAAGTAGGCGAATCCTATTTATTATTTTTGATCAATGCAGATCAATGTACTCCTAATCATTGTTTATGAATAATCAAAACTAACAATTTTTTTGAGGAATTCAAATTAAAAAATGAAATTCAGTTTATTTTCAGTGCTTACCCTTCCAGCTTGCTTTAAACTCTTTATGATCTTGTGAATATTTTCAAAATTTTGAATAAAAAAATTGAGCCTTCGATATTATAAGTATGCTGATTATTTGAAACATAATAGGATTCCCTTTGTATGCTTTAATTACTTTATACATCCTTGAAGCACGTCAATAAAAGGGATTTGAGTTTACAAGTAGCATGAAAAGAGGCACAACGAATAATCTGTTGGGCGAAAACGTCACTTTTACACAAGTTTTAATTATTTTTAAATATTCAATATTTTGAAAATTTAATATATTATTTATTTCTTCTTTGATAAAATTTAGTCAGAGATTTCTATAGTTGATTTTCTAATTTTTTAATTAATTTCAGTACTGGATGCGTGGAGTGAGGAGGCCAATTTTAGTTGGATTTCAACTGTGCATGATTTTACTGGGCGCCTGCTATTGCGCTTTCTTGGTTGCAGTTCTCACTTCAGAACAAACTGCTGAACAAATTGACACCGTTGAAGAATTGGTTGATTCCAATTTGCGCTTGACTGACGTAGATGATTTGTGGCCCGGCCAGGTTTTTCATCTATACTATTATTTTTCTTTCTATAAATATACAAAAATTAAAATTTATTTAGCTGCAATTATCCAAGGATCCAAATATTATAAAGATAATGAGTCGTTTTGAAATGTCTGAAAGCTGGGAGAATCTGATGAACAGACTCAATTCAAAAAGGTTTTCCTACACAATTGAATGCCTTGACAACGGTTTTTTGTGCCTCCAAGATGATATGCCTGAAGAACTACTTGAACGTCTACATCTCTCAAAGTATATTTTTTAATTAAAATACGTGGTCAAAATTTAAACAAAAATACATTATATTTTTAGGGACTTTGTTCTCACTTCTGAAATCGCGATGGTTTGGGCCAAAGGCTTTCCTTTGAAAAATGCGTTCGACCGAGAGATTTCGCATTTGATCGAAAGCGGGATTCTGCATCTTTGGGAAGAGCAAGTGATCGCTTCGTTGTCTGAAAGGGACCAACACTTGGGAATTTTGATGCGAAGGAGAGACGGAGGCGCCTCTGTTCAAATCGCGCTTGGATTGTCGCATATGGGAGGACCATTCATGCTACTAATTTTTGGTTTAAATCTGGCTTTAATTTCTTTTTGCTTTGAACACTTTTATTTTCGAAAAGCAGGCGTGGGAAAATCCTAAAAATTTGTTAATAAGAAAAATAATTTAACTTAATGGTAATAATGACATTTTATTTTCCACGCATACTTATTTTTTTAAACTAATATCTTGCAGAATTTTTTATTAAGTCATAAAAAATCTAAAGATCTCATTAAGTATTTAAAATGTTATTTATTTTGTGTCCAATTTAGAGCAAAAATCTGCAAGCAATTGCTTTAGTTAAAACGAATTTTTTATTATATCAAGAAATTATTTTTCAATGAATTAAACTTTTACATGAAAATGTAATGAATTGGTTAAAGCTTTTTTCAGGACTAAAAATTAATAAATAAAATAGAGCTTTAACAATTTGCTTCATTTTATATTCAGCATTAATTTAAATTTATAAATATTTGTAGCTTGAATTCATTTTTTATATTAATTAAAAAACGTAAGAAAAAAAGTATTATTATATAATCGTTTGTTTCCTCCGTCATTTGATTTGTTATACTCTTTGCTTTAATAAATTTTATGTAATTATTATTAAAATTAAAAACTGCTAGGTCTTATTACTGTTAGCGAGCGCTGCGGAAAAGCGCGGTCGAGCAGGTCAACGACGGTGCTCGATAAAATTGTCAAGGTCACCGAGAGCGAAAATATAAAGGAGCCGAGCGAGAGGGAGAATGAACCCGTCGCCTTCTCGCAACATCCTTGTGTGACATTTCGCACGCACACGCCCATTCGCGAAATATTTGAGGAATTTCGCAGCTACAGCTGACCCGACTAGGACAACGCACCTGCAGAACAGGGGGCTGCGATCGATCACAACTAATTTCTCTCAAGGTTATCTCCAACTATATAATATCTCGCAGCCTGCAAGCGAGCAAGCTGCACTCCATTTGACCGAAGAGTCGGGGTGCAGTAATTTAATTTTTGTTCCGTTCCGACAAATTGGAAAAATTCGATGGACTAAAATGCTCAAAGGTAAGGTTCAAAACAAAAAACGCGAGCAAATTTTGAAATTTATATTTAGATGGGGGGAAAATTGTTTTTAATTTGCAAATGTATTATTAATTTAATCTTTAAAGTTTTAGCCTCTTTCATAAAAATTATAAAAATACACGTGCAAAATATCAAGACAAGAAAAACTGCAACAAAACTTTACATATACATAGCTAAATAATGCTGCATTAAAAAATTTATTGAAATTAATATTTTGCTGAAAAATCATAAATTAACAGAAAAAATGACGAAAGTAACTTATATAGGTAGTAAAATGCGAGATTTACTTCAAAATTTGAATAAAGTGCCGCTGTGTTCTTTGCTCATCATGAAGTTTTCGTTCAAAAAATCATAAAAATTTCAGCAAAAAACAAAATTAATAAATAAAAAATAGCAGAAAGAAAACAAGAAAATCAATAACTATTATTGAGTGAAAGTTTTGGAATTGTATGGAAAATGGAAATGTTCTGATCATGTTTTCATATTTTAAGTACTGCATCAAGTCTTGAAACGTTGGTGATTTAATGGCATTGAAAATAATTTTCATGAAATACGCTCTAGTCGGGGCTCAATTAAATATTTAAATACATAGACAAATATATAACGTGCTGCATAGGCAGCACCGCAAGCAGCTTCTCGGCAACTAGTTTGCGAAGAGAGCCAGTCGGAGGCGGCCAATGAGAGCGCGGCTGCCAATATTTAAGCACTGACGAATCAAGGGAGGACTTCCTTGATTGGGTGGCACCAGCTGATCGCAATACATAGACCGAGAGCGCTGGGGCCACTGATTTGTATTTTCCGTCGCAGCTGGACTGCAGGGCCGAGTTTGCTGAAATTATCAGTGAAAAGATGAGTGGAATTTGAGCAGATGCACGCGTGAGCGAGCGAGATGAAGCGATCGGCTAAGGTGAGCGCCGCAGGGCCACTTGTTTTTGTTGCAAGTTTTCTCCTCGGAGAGTGACGAGAACGCGTGACGTCACGAACGACATTAGCAGATTACACACAACTGCGACGACGACGCTGCTTCTCGGCCCTTTTCGAGCGTTTTTCAAGACAAGCCCGACGATTCGGGCCCGCGGGCGCCGACTCGGCCTCGCCGGGCACCCGTCGGCGCCGCCCCGACCGCCCGACGAGTGAGTTTGAGTCAAAAATCGGCGTTGGCGAATCGCAGGAAGGACGGAGACAAACAGGGCTCGCGAATAACCTTGAAGTTCTGCTGCTCTATCAGCCCGAGAGTGTACGTTTGCGGTGGGTTAATTTGCACGGACGTTGACAGGGACGGGCAAAGTGTTTATTGGCGATGCTTCGGACAAATTGGGGCCGCAATCGTGTCACTTCGCGGATTGTTTGGATTCGCGAATCTCTCCGTGGCTCGCAAAGGAAAGTGACGAAACTTCATTCTTTTCGCCAAAGTAGGTCGCGAATCTGAAAGGCTGCTTTTCGCTCATATGTTGGAAATGATTCCGTTACGCTGCTCGTTTTTTGATAGAAATTTTTTCACTCAAAACCGGAACGATTGATTTTTTTTATCAGATATCTGCACATGAAGGTAGGTTATGAGAGAGGCTGTCCTGCGCTTCGTGTGTGCAGTACCTGTGTGTATATTTGCATATCGATTTCCAGCACTTGTGTAACTACACTCTTTTTATCTTGACACGGAATCCACTCCCGGGGCGGCCTTGGTTCTCTCAAAACACAAGGAATTCGCCAAATCTGCTGACAAGCCGAGATTTTGCCAAAACACTCATATTCTTTATTAGACAAAACGAGAGGTTGCGAAACAATTTGGCGACACAAAATGTGCAAAGAAAGTGTCACTCAAAAAGTGGTGATTTCTGTTATTGCGTCCGATTTATCTTTTAAGTCGCCCCGAGTGAAATGAAAATTGTTTTCCTTTCCTTTATTGTCAAGCCACACCCATTTGTAGGTAATTAAATAGAATATCAGAATGGCATAGAGCAGGAACATGATATTCTTTGTTCGTCATTGGTAGAAGGGGAATGCAAAAAAAAAAAATAGCAAATGCATGCATAATGAAAAAAGACGCACATCCGACATTTCAAGTTGTTGTATTATTATCTCTTTATTTCCTGTAAAAAAGAGGAAAGCCTATTCTATTATCAAAGGCGGAAATAATATTCATTAAAATTAAAAATTAAATTTTTTCCATTTTCAGTTTCAGGCTCAAGAGTTTTTGTCCAACCCGCCGGACGTAGGGATGGACTCTGATGAGGGCGAGGGCTCCTCCGAGCCCGCACATCACGCCCGGCGCCCCATGAACGCGTTCCTCATCTTCTGCAAGAGACACCGTGGGGTGGTGCGCGAAAAGTATCCCACCCTGGAGAACAGGTGCATCACCAAGATTCTGGGCGAGTGGTGGGCCCAGCTCGAGCCGCCCGAGAAGGCCTGCTACACCGAACTGGCCAAAAAAGTATATTTAAAAAATAATTTTAAAAAGTTGTTACCAAAGACAATTTTTTTTCAGTACAAGGAGGCATTTCTGGAGGCCAACCCTGACTTCAAGTGGTACAAGCTGCCAGCACCACCACTCAGGACGCTTGTCACCCGACCGTCCAACCAGAAACCACCAAAGTTGGAATACCCGTCAGTGTCAGGACCCATCGTGCCTGGAAAACTGGCAGGTTAGGGAGTTAATAATTGTGCTTAATTGATTGTATTTATTTGCATTTTGATCTTAATTTCTTTTCTTTGAAACAACCTTTATTGCAAGGATATAAAATATTATTCTGATGTGTTTAATTTATATTATTTTTGGAAAATTTCAATGATTGAATATTATCACGTTAAAAGTATTGAAAATACTTCCTGAAATTCTTTATTTGTTTTTATTTAAGATTTTAGCATTTCATTGCTATAAACTTCTCTCCAAATAATTTTATTCCTGCAATTGGATTTGTGTGTGTGTGTTTTTTTTTTACAGTAGTAATTATTTTTTTTATAAGGTTTGGTTGCAATTCAATTTTTTTTTTTCATTTCCTCAGATGAAACGCAAATGGGGGGTCTGAGCAGCCTCTTGTCTTCACCGCCCGTGACCCCGACCTCGCCCACTGTTCCCAAACCGCCGAAAAAGCGGTACCTCGAAGAAAGTTCTGCTTTTTCAAGCGGCGTGACCCCTCTCTCAGCCTGGGAGGGCACCTCCTCCGACAAGGGCGACGAGAACTCGCGGGACAGCAGTCTGGACAGCGAAGGAAAGGACTCGGGATTGTGCAATTTGTCGCCCACAAACACCGGAGGCCCATCCACTCAGTCGCCACTGCTGAACCAGGCCTGGAGCCAGCTGGGGGCCAAACCAGGACCCTCGGCCCCAGCCTCTTTGAAGACCTCCCAACTCATCGACAGGGTGGTTGATCACATGTGCGCCACTCCTGAGGCGGCACCTGCGGCGGCGGCGCCCAGCTCATGGGCAGACGTTGCCAGCAGGGAGACCAACAACAATGAGGAGGCGTCTTTTTTCGATGGTAGGTTTTTTGTTAAATTAATTATTAACAGAATGAATTTTATTTATTTTTAAAAGCTTTATTGCAAATTTATAAATTTGATTTATCTAGATGAAGATAAACCAAATGTCACTGAAGAACCTAGCAAAAGCTCAGGTCAGTGGATTCAGTCGAAGGACCCCATTGCTAGTCGTAGTGATATGCAGAGCCACGAAGCTTTCCTTGAAGTTCAGCAAAGGCATCTGAAAGGGAAAGGCTCTCAAAACAGGCGGAAGTCAGTGCGCGCCTGCAAAGGAAAACGGTATCAGGAATTCATGAGTTCTGGAAGAATAACCACTGGCAAAAGAGGTCGCCTCAGGATGTACAAAAGCCTGGACAGGTAAAGCTTGTTCTGCAAACTTTGTCGTGTTTGAAGTTAATTTTTATTTTTGTAATGCAGTGAAGGGTCCAGCAAAGTTAGGCACAACTCTGGTTCATCCACAACCTCGGAGAAAACGGATTCCGCATACTCCGAAGCCAGTCGAGGATCGAGGGAACCAAACGAGGAAATGCTTTTTTCTCTCCAAGGCAAAATTACTCCAACTCCCACTCTTGAAATGTATGTTTCTTGAATTGTTATGAAATTTTATTCTAATCAGTAACTTTATCAGGGACGCTGAGTATGAAATGACGCCCAAAAAGCATCGTCACATTTCTGAGTGCTCTGAAGATTCTGAACTTGACGCCAATTTGAGGAAGCGGTTTCGTGCTGCGTAAGAGTTGAATAATTATATAATAATTCAGGAAATGAAAATTTCATTCTTGTCGCAGTGATTTTAATTTGGACGAAAAAATCGACGCCCTGCCTTCCCTAAGTCTTGAGGAGTTTCAGCAGAAGAAGAAGGCCAAGAAAAAGAGAGCTTCCATTGCTCCGTCGACGCCTAAGAAACATATTATTCGTGACAGAGCTCTTGAAATGACTCCTGGTTTGATAACAAAAGTGAACTTTGCTCAGGCAATAAACTTATGTGTAAACTCTACAGTTTCCAAATATTCTGTGCAAGCCAGCTGTTCTACTCCAACGAAAAACCCTCCGCTGGTTGGCAGTCAGAAGAGAAAAGCGCGTCGGCTGCAGATTACTCGTGTGGACCCCAACTCTCCCCACATGACCCGTGGTATTTATAGCTTTTGATTTATTGCTTTGGCACAAATACTTTTAAACCCACAAAATGTTTGTATAAAATTCGGCAAAAAATATTGAATTGCACAGCATCTAAAAATTTTATCCACAAAATAACCGATCTTGAAATCTTGTTCAAATTTTGACTTTATCAACTTTCAGATAACTCTGCGGTCGAACCCACTGTCCTCATGAGCGACATCGGACTGGCAACACTAGCCGAAGTAGCATCAGCAACCAAGAGACTTATCAAGCAGTAAGTAACGATGATCAAGAGAGAAACAACGCGCGCTAATTTAATTACTTCTGCGGGTTCGGAGCTCGGCTCATTTTTGCAGTTGGTCAAACGCTCGTATTTTTTACTTTTTGGAGAGGACGTCATTTTATTTTTCTTTGTCGGGGAAAAAAAAGAATAAGGCTTGCCTATATATATTTACGGGAATGTGACTGTTGTGAGCATGTTTAACATTCATCAGGCGAACTTTGAGATATCATACACATTTTGTATTGATCGAGTCACCGACTTTCTGTTTTGCCTTCAGTACAAACAGATTCATTACTTTTATCGTGAATGGAGCCGCACCAGTTTAATCGAGGTGGAGGTTTTTAAAATAACACAGTTGATTGCAGTGACAGCAATATTTTTGAGCCTTACTTTCACAAAAATGGTCGTTTCGATTATTCAACTGATTTGATTGAATTTTCCACTCTCATGACAAATTTTATCCTGACGAGTTTACGGTGTCCACAGAAAAGAAACAAAGGCTCAAGCGCCGTCATGCTTTCTTTTCGAAACTAACTTTTCAATAGTGAGGGCGAATATCTCTCTTGCCCTTAGCGCGTAATTAATTAAAATCAAGGAAATGGAGTACCTGCGTTGATGTTTGTGTAGAGTAGAAAGAGAATCTCTCACCTGAAGAGAAAGTAAACTCAATTTGGCACCAACTCGAACAAACACTAAATTTCGTTGAGAAAATTTTCCAATCGGCTGTACATGATCGAGAATAATATTGAATTGGTGCCAATTTAAGCAGGGCGCACATTTGAAAGAATATTTTTCTGTGTTTTCTATAAATATTAAAAAAAAATGAACTACTAACTGTTAGGGAAAAAGTGAAAAGTTTAAAAAGTAGCAAAAGAGAGCCTTTGCAAGTGCGAGGCCAACACGATGTGATCTGCCAGACAGAATGAGTGAGGTTTTGAGAAATTTAGTTGATTTTCACGGTTTGGTTTTTTTTTAATTAGTCAATCACATTTAATAATACAGTAGTTTTGTCTTTCGTTTTTTTCGTTTCAAACATTTCCACGTAACTTATTTTTGTACGTTGTTTTAGTCAATTTTGTTACCACAAATTGTAATTAAACTCATTGTTATTCGCTCTGTATACGTTTCCAGAAGAAAAATATTTAATTGTGTTCAATAATTCAAATTATTTCCTCCATTTTTTTTATGATTCCCTTTTAATTCTTGCATTAATTCAACTGTGAAAATCATTCTTTTATCGAATAAGGGCTTTTATGTGATTGATGGTTTCATCCTTTTTTAAGTATTTAATCTTCATTATTTTAAGTGGTCTACTTTGATAGTGCCTTGAATACTATAAAAGTTATTGTTGCGAGATGGAACGATCCAGGAACTAACAAGTAGATATCGGTTGAAACGGAAAGATTTAAAAGTTTTTTTGAAATCCAACTCGGAGTGCGAAACTGGAAATAAATAGTTGTTTTGGAGAGAAAATATTAAACCAACAAACGTGAGTTTCCACTTATTTTTATATATGAATCTTGCTTCAAATGAGTATTACTTTTATTCAAAAAATGGGAAGATTTTTGCTAGTCAAAAATGCTTTGGGAAAATACACGAGGAGACACAGCAAGAAAGAAATATTTGATCTATCGCATTTAATTTGTAAATAATTTCATTTAAAAATAACTCAGTGAGAAAGAAAGTCGGGAATTTCAAGGGATGTTAATTTTAATCTCTGATGCCGTCAGTTAGTTGAACGCCTGGCCCAAAATTGGACGGACAATCCCGACGGAAATCCTAATCCGCTTCGACGTAGTAGAGCAGGCGATTGAATCAAAATCATGTTCTTTGAGAGAATGAGAAACTTTTACACTTAGTCCTGCTGGGAAACAGGGCCGATTTTCTCTTCCATCCCAAATCAACTGTTATTTTAGAGGGTAGATCCCCCCGTAAAAAGTAGCGATCGCTTTCTTGTATGTTCACCTCATAGTGTCTTAACTGACTTTAAAAAAAATCTTTAAAAAAACACCCACAGTTTGGTAGAAGGAAGTTTTAAAATTCTTCGGAATTTTCACTTTATGGTAGTTTAGAAATTCCGTCATTTGAATTGAAAGAAGAAAAAAATCAAGCAAAATTAAACGAATTTTTAATCCACTGTCAGGTACAGACCGACGACAATATTATGAGACAGCATCCGTGGGAATTTTTCAACCTTCTTGATTCAATTTTAAGTTCTGAACAATGCTTTAATTAATTTTAATCAAAGAAACGTATGGTGGTGAGAGTAATTTTATATGTATTAATTTATTATTTCTCTTCGGGAGTTTTTGTTGATGTAACGGGGTATTGTGAGAACTGTTATATTATTTTCCATTATTGTTTTAATAATTTTATCGTAAAACTGTAATTAAATTGTTGTTGGAGTAAAAAAAAGTGTAAAAAATATTACGATATAAATACACAAGCGTAACCTATCAATATTATAATTTAGGAGGTTCTGAAATTTGTAAATATTATAAATAAAATATATATAAAAAATTAATATATTATGAATATTACAAACGTTACATTGATATAAATATAAACATACAATGCTATTTTAATAAAAATCACTCTTTGATGTCTGGGCAAGCCAACAAATATGAGATGCAACAGTGACTTTATTCTTTTACGAGCTAATAATGTTTAAAAATCATATAATTTCAACCTATATAATACTGTGTATGTTAATTCTGTAATAAATAATTAATTGTATTTTTCGAGTTCAACGCTACACACGGAGTTCTGTATAATATTTTGCGATTGTGATTTCTAATTAATTATACGTGAAGGTTTTATCATTTGATGTAAGGTTAATTCAGTGTTTACTGTGGATTGTGTACATTCATTAATAGTGTTATTATTTTAATACACGCGTCTTCTTCTATTACTCACTCTCGATTGTAAATAGGAAAAAAATCAAAGGCGGTTTGTTTTACAATTTTATTATTTTCTCTGTTGTTGTTTTTTGAAAATGGAAAAACGAAAAGAAAATAAATATTGAAGGCGAGATGAAAATATATATTCGATTTTTGCAGGTCATATTGGCAAACAAAAGAAATAAAATAGAAAAATATTTTTACTCGACTTGGTACATGTTACTGAAACTATGTATCTAGGCTTTTAAGAAAATTTGTGAACATTCAAAAGTGAAATAAAATTATTTGCACCTCACATTAAAAATTTACTGATTTCATCAAACCTAAAATTATTATTGCAATCTTTTTTAATTCTTCTAAATAATAAAATTTAATGCTGTGATTATGATTTCATGTTACTTTTTGCACATGTTAAAAATTTGGGTTTTAATTTTAAAATGAATTTTTTAACCTAATTTCTCATTAAATTTATAATAAATACTCCCTTTAATTGAAACGAAAAAAATGAGTATAATGACAGCAAAAAAGCAATTTAAATAATAGTTTATACAAAAAAATATTTAAATTCATTGCCATTTTAATATAAATTTATCATGTTGGTAATCAAATTGTTGCTCAAAGAGAAGGGGCGTGGCACACTTAAATTATTGCAAAACCATAACAAACCTCACCCTGTGAAGCTCAACTCAAAATATCCACTATCAACTAATTAATTGAGGGGTTTTAAAACTAATTTTTTATTAATTTTTAATCAGGTCTCTTTAAACCTTCCAATCATGGGTGTCATTTTTGGAAAAAGCAAAAAACTCGAGAGCAGAGTCACTGAACAAGACAAAGCAATCCTCGTAAGTGTCATTTTACAATTTTAAAACAATATATAATTTCAGTGAAACGCAAATTACGCACAGTTAAATTGAGTCGCAGTTATTTTGAATTTATCTAATTAGAATTTAAATCTTTTCAGCAATTGAAGCAGCAGAGAGACAAAATAAAGCAGTACCAAAAGAAGATTGAGCAGAATCTGGAGAAGGACAGAGAGTTGGCCAAAAAGTTGCTGACCGCCGGCAGGAAAGAGTGAGGCATTTTTCAAATTTAATTCGGCAACATTTAATCTATTTTTATTCAGCCGAGCAAAATTGCTGCTGCGGAAAAAGCGGTTCCAAGAGCAGCTGTTGTCAAAGACCGATGGGCAGATGGAGAATCTTGAGCGTCTGGTGCACGACCTGGAGTTTTCGCAGGTCGAAATGCAGGTCTTGGACGGACTGAAAACCGGAAACGAGGCTCTGAAGAAGGTCCAGGAAGTTCTCAACATCGACGCTGTTGAGCAAATCCTTGACGAAACAAGAGAGGCCATCGAGAAACAAAAGGTTTGAATTTTTTTTATCTAATATCATATTTTCTAAAAATCCTGTTGTAGGAAATCGACGAGCTCCTCAGTGGAGCCCTGACTGAGCAGGATGAGGCTGACGTTGAAGCCGAATTGGAAGAACTCATATCCGTGTCCGAGCCTGCCAAAACTCTGCCTGAAGTGCCAATGGAAGAGCCCGAAGGAGATGTTGCCTTACCTGAAGTTCCCACGGAAGAACCAACTCGTATGATACTAATTTTGTTCTTCTAAATTTCTATTTTTAATTTATTTAAATCTGCAGGTGCTGCTAAAGAGAAGAAGAGAGAAAAGGTCGCTTTGGAAGCTGCTTGAATTTATTGCAAGAGTTCATTCCAAATCTGAACATCACTTTGAAAAATGAATCCATACAATTATTGATATTGAAATATAAGGAATGAGCAGGAAGTGTCTAATTATTTTGTGCAAGTGGCCTAGTCGTCTATTCGTTTGCAACTCTATGTCGAAAATGTCTAAATTGAAATCTGTGTAATTCGCTGCTCATTTTCCTTTGAGTGAAAATGTGATAAATTGAATAACAAGTAAACTGCTAATTTCATAATATAAAATTATGGGGTTTTTAATAAAAAACCAAAATCAGATCTTAGGTCTCTTTATTTTCCATATATACACTTGTAAAGCTGTTTTTAAAAGATAATGGGTCTTACGCATTTAAATTTTGAAATACATCATTTTCGTGTTTTATCACTGGATAGGCCTTGTTGTTGGATTTAGTTTAAATTCACTTGCGACTGCAAAGATTAGTGCTCTCTAAATAATGTCATTGTAAAAATCAACTTTTTCAGTTAAGGTGCTTGCACCAGAAATGTAGCCAAACTTTAAAAAATCCTTTCTCTTAAATTGTCCCTCTGGCCCATCCAACTTTTAGAATATAATTTCGTATCAAACCATGTTTCGAGTGCACCTTCAAATCACAATCGCCGCAAAAAACTGGAAGTGATTTCCAAGAAAATATTTTCCAAGGTGCACTTTAAAAACAGGCTGTCAAATTTTTTCCATTCCAATCGTGCTCTTATTTTCTCATGACTAGATTACGACGCAGTTGAATATCTTTATTATTATGTCGATGCTGCGGAATTCGAGCAAAAATCGTCACCGGCTTATACATTTTTTGTTAATTTTCTTTAGAAGTGTGGCTTTTATTTGAGAGAGGAGAAAGACTGAGTGCGCCATTAATTTTTTTTCTAGCACAATGGAAGTAAATTGTGTATTGCTCAAACGACGTTTTTCCTCTCAGATAATTTACATGATATATATTATATAGTCTAAAATCACTCTCACGGAAAAGCAGATCAAGTGCTCCAAACGAGAACGGAGAAAATGTAAAAAAGTTCTCAAACTAAATGCTCTTCATCACTTGATGAGATAAATTGATGGATCGATATAATTATCTGCCACTTAATTACACAGCAGTCAAATATGTACAAAAAATGGAACACTTCAAAATTTCTGTTTCTCGATACATTGGCAGAAAGAAAAAAATATATATTTTTCATACAAGCCAAAAAGTATTTAAATCTTTAGACACAAACTTTTCAAAAGTCTTTGAATATGTGAAATTTTTCTCTTTTGCCAAAGCTTCCAAGAATTGCGTAGTACAATTTTTTTTCCTTTGCCAAAAATTGCTTCAGGAGCAGAATTTCTCACAAATATTTGAAGGCTACATATTATATTTTTTAATTACCTTGGAATTAACAATACTTAAAACTAATAATTGCGAGATCATTTGCTAAAAAACTGACTCTCACACAATCTAAAAAACCAACCAAATTAAAATAAAAATTTTAAAAATCACTCGATCAGTCAAAGTATGTACAAAAATTCTGCCCCCTGGCAAAGAATGGAAATTCTCGTGTGTGTTTAATTTGTTCGAATTCAACTGGAGCGTTCAGCAGGGGAGTCGTTCAAGGAAGATTCCAGCGCTTTGGTGAGATTTACAGTCGAAGTGCCGACCGCAGGCTGCTCCTCGAGATGTTGCGCCGCGGACTGGGCCGGAGGAATGAACTCGAGGGTCGGACGCAGCTTGATGGCGTCTTCGTACGTGGGCAGTTCAGCGACGAGGCTTTCGTAATCGGGCGGTTTGCTCTGCAGGTTGGGACTCAGGGGCAGGCTGATGATATGCACCGAGGGCTGTCCACCGTAAAGACTGCTGCCATCCTCGCGACCAATCGTGTTCAACTCGCACTGAAACAAAAAGAGAAAAACGCATAAATATTAGCATTAAAAAATACTCAAATTTTATTAGTTATTTCTAAATTTAAATAATTTTATTGAAATTTTAGGTGCGACAAAAAAAATCACAAATTATATTTTTTTAATATTTAAACGCGTTTTGTTATTAAATAAAAAATATTCTATTCCAAAGGGTGGGTTAAAAATCCAATCTTGAAAAGAAATATTCCTACTGTGTAAAATAGCCATTGGAAGAAAAGTGAATTTTTTAATTTTTTTTCTAGAAAAGACATTTTACCAGACAAAATTGGCCTTCCTTTAAATAGCTGAATAAAAAAAAATATTGACTGTATTCTAGTTTATTTAATTCACACATTGTATATACTTTGTGTAAAATGACATAATTTCCAATAAAATTATGAGCTTCAATTTTGATTAATTAACCGGAATTAACATTAATCCAAAATCAAAATTATTCTGGCTGCTTAAAATAGATTAAATATTAAACAACCAAATCAAAATCGTTCAGCTTGTCATGAATTAACTTTTTTTTAAGAAAAAAAAATTACAGCTAAGTTCATTCAAAATACTTTGAACTAAATTAACAAATAACTATATTATTTTCAATATTTTCTACTTAATTTTTTTTTCAATTCCTTCCTTTTGTATAAATTTGTGTAAAATCGATGTGACTTTTAGATTAACTAAGAGTACATCTGTAATGAAGGGAGTTAAAATTTAAATAATTAAATGATTATAACTGTTAACTTTTTTCAAATGCAATGAAATTTTCCTACAATCTCCATACAGAATAAACTTGCGTCTATTCTATAAGAGTACCCATTCTCAGCTGGAATCAAAATAAATGTGTGTCATTAGGGAGGGAATTAATTCAGCGAGTTTAAATAACTAACCACACACGATACACGTAATCATCACATTTTGCGCCACTGCACGCGCCGTGAGCGCCCGTCGGATAGAAATGGAAAGCCTGAGCAGTTATTAAATAAGCTCTCCGAGGAGAATGTGTATATTTGTGTAAATAATCCACTTTTATTTTCAACCGGCGGCGGTGGCCGATTTATTCGCACCTGAGAGATCTTTCATAGGCGCTGCTCAATAACCCTGACCTACAAAGCCGGTCTCATTGCATAAATCACTCACGCATCTTCACAACGCTCTCGTGTATATCAATTATCACGACACACGCGCGAGCGTTAGAACAATTAAAATTTTTAATGTGTGCTCGGAATTTTGATTCCCCTCCCTCTTAAGCAACAAAATTATATTTGGTGTTTGCGGGTCAAGAGACGCGCGGTTGGGAAATGAATAAATTAATTCGGTGAAGCCTTCCTTCATTTATATACCTCGAAACGCGAGCTCTCCGAGTTCGGCCGGTCTGTTTTCGATCAAGTTTGATTGACGGGGCTGTTAGGCCACCGGTGAATAAAAACGGAGAGTGCTTTCTATTGCGGAAGCGTAAAAAAATCGAATCGGGAGATGGAAAACAAATCTGACCAGTGTTTTGTTTTCGTTCTCTAGTTGCTCCAGATTTTTTTTATCATGATCAAGCACTCAATTCTATTGGTAAACAGATAGCTTTGATGAACTTCATGACAAAAGTCTTCCACAGCTAGTGATCCAAGCAGAATATGATTTGATTATTGTTTTTAAAAAACATATAAAACTCTTGCAAGATACAAAGAAATAGGAAGGATATTCTCTCGAGAGCAACAGAATGGATTTTAATTCTTTAAATGAAGACTTACGGTTGGATTTGATTTATTAATTATATTATTTACCATTTTTTTAAAAAATGAATCACAAAAATTAGGATTTAAAAAAAAAATGAAATAAAAATTTATTTCTTAATATCATTATATTTTCAGATAAAAATATTAAAAATACATTAATAATTGAAATATTTTAAAAACAGTTAGATAAAATTTTAAAATTAATTGTTTATTTTAACTTCTTAAATTAAATATAAAGTTTAAGGACTCGTTATTGACATAGTCAAATAAAGTCTTTACAACAAATGGTTTGTAAAATTTCCAATAATTGCCCAAGATGGCTTCTATAGTTGTAAAGACTTGATTTGACTTTGTCAATAAGGAGTCCTTAAAAAACATATTTGTGCATTTAAATAGCTACAAAATATTAAATTATTTTAAATAAAAAACAGAGGTAAAATTATTATAATAATTATGACGTTTTGTTAAATAGATAATAAAACTTTTGATAAATTTCATTTTTTGAAGACGCTCTACAATGCAAAGCTATTTTTGCAGACATGATTCAAGAATGAAAAATCCTTGTTCTCAATTTTAAACCAAAGGCCAATTCGATTGTTATGTTATAAAAAAATTCATTAACTACCAACAATCGTTCCTTTTTTTAAAACACTTGCGCAAGTCAAAGAACTGTTTCAAGGCACCTCTAATTTTGGCAATTTGTCTCTCCCGCAAATTAACTTCGAAAATGAGCCACAAAGCTTTTATTTACAAGGTCAATTGATTTTGGACGTGCGTTAAAACTAGAAAAGATTCGTCAAAATGAAGCCCTTTTTTAAATTTATTATGAGATGCCAGAGCATCTCATTTCTCGGCGGCTAATTACAAGCTGGGAAGGTCGCAACTGACTCTGAGCGCAATAAAAGCAGTCACAGATTGCCCTCGTCTTGATCAAGGCCGCAATGGAAAAAGGGATCAATAAATTCCCCGACAGGAGTCGAAGTCGAAATGAGCAAATTGTCAAGCTGTGCATCTTTATTTCAATTTGTTCTGCAAAACTTCATCCAGGTGATAAATGGGCGCAAAAAGGATGAATATGAAAATCCCAGGAGTTGACCAGAGTTTTTATTAAATTGGTGTTTCCAAATCGTTAAATTCAAAGTAGCGTGGGAAAAGAAAATTGGAAACGATATTTACCAGCTTATCAAATTAACAACGGATGTGGTGCTGTGATTTAATCATAAGTTTTTTTAATTCATTGGTGTGAAAAACCAAATAATTACGATTATTTTAATTGGTTTGGTGATAAATTTCTGTGGTAAAAAGTGATTCCTGGTAGAAATGAGTTTTTCAAAACTACATTCTAGCAATTTTCTGTATTGATACGGGACTAACACAATTTATGCAAGATTTCTCATTTGCCTTTATTTTGTGGATTTGCTACAAGTACTGGCAAGGTTTACTCATTTTTATTCTTCTAGAGTTGTAATTAGTTTTGAAATTTGGGATTGAATTAATACTAAAATGGAGAAGTAAGAAATAATAATTATTTCATTTAAAAACGTGAAAATAATAAATCGTCAATCTATTTTTTAAACGAATTTAGAATGTTGTCGTGATAGTATTCTATAAATATCATCATTAAAATTATGTTATCAATTAAGTTTAATTGTTAAATTTGGCACCAGCTTGATATTTGCAAAGAAAAATTAACTTCATTGAAGAAAGCTTGAAAAATTATTATCCTGTGTTCCATCAATTTTTTCAAAAGATAAGTAGAGCCTCAAAATTTGAGAGAAATCAAAATTAACGTAATCATTTTAACATAAGAGAAGGAGTAATCAAAAGTAATCGTTTAGATTTCTTGTTTTTATTAATCAAGAGAGGAAATTTATAAATAATTTTTAGCTTTTTTTAATAAAATTTTCAGCTACAAAAACAAGAACTGGAGAACAAATCATGGGAACAAAATTTCATTGTTTGGTTATAATATTTTTTTTTATTAAAAATGGATTAAAAAAGGTTTAAATGTAAAAAATGTAATAACAATTTAGATCAAATATATTTTAAAACACTAAAATTTAATCATATTATAATCTTCACAAAGATAATTATTTAGCCCCTTAAAGAAATAAAACTTTGAAGAAGGAATTTGCCGGAACAAAGAATGAAGTAAATTCAAATAATAACAAATAAATTTTGTAAAAAAAAATGTGTAACGTTGGGAAAATTTGTTTAAAAATGCAACAGAATTATTGCAATAAATTAGAATAATAATTGAATGCTTGAAAGCGCATCTTCAATTTCTTAATTTTTAAATTTCATTTGAATTAAATGTTGAAAGCGGTACTCACGCTGCTGAGGTCGGCGGCGCGTTGCGCGGCGGTTGAGGCGTTGGAGCGTCCGAGCCATCGGCACATGGCGGCGCAGATGAGGAGGGCGCCGGCGACGATGCAGCCGACGCCGATGTAGCGCATCGGCTCGACGTAGGCCTGCGCCAGGCCGAGCCAGTTGAAAAGGGCGCCCATGCACAGCAGGATGAGGCCCACCCTGTACGGCTTCTGGCTGGCCTGGTAGTTGTGCTGCTGCTGCAGGTACTCGGCCTCCAGGAAGGCCGCGTTGTCCGTCACCAGCCGCGCCCCCGTGCAGCCTGTGCGGCTGCAGCCCCGCGTCGGACACTCCTGCTGCGGCATCTGACAACAAAAAACATGCACATTATGAGTAGAATAAATAATTTTGAAAATAGAGTAAAAATGTAAAATGTTTTTGCTTACAGAAGATTTTCAATAATTCTGCAAAAATTTTGTAAAAAGAGATCCGAGTATAGTTTTCTGGATGGTTCATAAGGTTTTATTGGCATTATAAATATCAAATCCAATTAACTTATTGTTTATTAAGTAGAGTATTTCGTAAAAAAAAGTATATAAAATCAAATTCCATACAAATTATAAATATTTTCTCTTACGATTTCGCGAAAAGAAACATAAATAAATGATATTTAAAATTTTAAAGTCTTTATATATTTTTTTCTTCGTATTTGTTCGTAATGTTAATTTTTAATACAACTTTAGAAAATGTAAGAATTATAAAAGGCAATTAATATTAAACAAAGTTATTTATAGCAAAAAAGACCAGTAAAAAAAATAGTGTCTTGAAGGGAAAACGAACGCTTTAAAATTTCATGCTTGAGGAAGTTAATTTGAATTGATTTGAAAAGAAACTAATAACACAAGAAACTTCAAACTTCTTAAATCCTCTTTATCAAGGTAACATAGCTAAAACATAATTTGAGAAATTTGAAACAATTTTAAGCCAAAATATTATCATAATTAGCAATATTGGAAATTGGAACCTGATTAGATACAATAAATTAAAAATTCACTGACGCCAACTCTTGTAATTTTAAAGTCCATCATTATCTCACTTCAGTAGCATTCCTTTTAAATTTTATTTCATTTTAAACACTCAATGGTTATTGAGCAGCAAAAAATTATTCCAAGGGATTGAGAAATGGAAGAGCAAACTTGACTTTTAAATTTTTTAACCTCTCTTCTGAAATTACGAAACGAACGACTGACGATTGCACGGCCCAAGCACACACATTGCATGTGCTCAAAAAGTGAAAATCAATTAACAACATCGAGTATGTGCATCGTCAACAAGTTTTGGCACTGAATTTTGTAGGTCGTTTGATTATTAGCTATACTCTTTCATTAACATTCAGTTCGAGTGTCTGATTCGGGAAAAAAACACTCGCACGAAGCAGCCGATCTTTTATCTCGCCGGCGATTCTTGCGCAAACCTATTTGTCTATAAACCAAACGCAAAAAGACGGTCACGTATATTAGCGAAATGAGGCAACCCACCATGCAGAGCATAGATAAACGAGAAAGCATATTTGTGTGTGTGTTTGATCTCCCAACTTATTTGCGCCACTCACGTTCCTTAGCAAAAGAAAAAAAATGCGCGAAGTCTCTTTTCTCGCTAAGTCAGTTTGATTGGATTTTGAAGGCAAAACAAAACAAACATAAATTAAACAATTTATAATTAAATATCGTTCCTTGAAATGGTAGAATTTATCAAATTTGGTCTCTAACCGCAATGAATATAAAAATCTCTACATTTCAGCTCTACCGGAAATGGTCTGATAAAAGCAAGCGAAACGTAAGAATTGTGATAAAACAGTTAGAATATTATTTTATCAAAATGTATCTAGAAACGACTGTCGGGAAACATGAAAATAAACCAACTTCACTACATGGAAAGAGCCTCAGTTGTGTTATCAAGTCTGAAAATTATTTATGTAGTGTTTTCGCAGTTAACTGAAATCAAGGTTTTAACAGGCGCTGGTTTAGCCTTATGTCGAAAAGTTTACACAATTTTAGTGGAAAACCAGATGTCATTGGACAGGAAAAAACAAAATCCACAATCTAGTTTTTTTACAAAGAGCTTTAAAATTGAAATTGTTTTACAATTTTTCAATTCAAAACAAGATTCAATTTTTTTTTTCATTAGAAACAAAGATAAAATGTGATATATTTTTTTTAATTTAATTTAAAGTACTAAAATTTCATCAGAATTTATCAATTTTTTGCTCTAAATGAAGCAGTCTAAATCATTTTAATTTTATACTTACTTTGTAATCTTAATTATTGAATTGGCAAGTAAAATAAAAAAAAATTAAAACAAAATCTTTGCTTTGGTGGTGCCGATTGGATTTAAAGTTAATTTAATTAAATAAGTAAATTTATTTTTCAACAATGTAAATTTGTATCAATGGGACAATTTCATAACAATTAAAAGCACAGAGATTTTTAATTAAATTTTAACGAAGACTTTCCATTCAAAAGCCCTTCACTCTGTACTTTTGCGTTTAACCCACAAAACTCCAGTTCAAATAGCCTGAAGTGCAAATTCCACATAAATAAGCGGCCAGCAGTTGAGTTTTTTGCAGATGGCAAACTTTTTCAACCGGGAGCAATACACACATAATACAAAAATGAGAGATGGTCAAGCTCTGAATGGTCCCTGCTGGGTTCAATTTGAGCAAAATCCCGAGTTGGAAATAATGATGCTGCGAGGCAAGAAAAATTATTTACGAGGTCCGTCATATATATTTTTCCTTTCAAAGCGCACGAAAAATGAAAGGGCCAAATCGATTCGAACGGAAATGATGCTGCGAAACCGTCGGGGCGAAATGATCAGCGAACGGAAAGGACAAGAGAAAATAATATCAAAACGGAATATGCCTACGATGTAAACTTGGTATTTCCATTTTACTTCATAACCGGGAGTTGGAAATTTGCTCCTCAACCACAATCAGTCAAAATGGTTTTTCCTAACTTACATTGACGTCCACATAAATTGCGCGTAATTTCCTTCTTGACTGCAATGAGGTTGCGGCTTATGTGATAAAGTTACCCTCAAGATTGAGTTTTAACAACATTGTTTTTTAACGATGATGTAATTAATTGTTTTTGACGTAATTTGACCTTATGAATATATCTCTGAAATGAGCTAATTACAGAAAAAATTAATGAAATCATAATTTGTGTTAAATTTCTTGTGATGACAATAAAATTAAAATTGGAATAGTGATGGTTGTGAGAGTTCAATGCACTATTCAAATCTCCCATTGTAGATGAGAGACAGCTGCAATTTTTTATTGTGTTGCAAAAAGCATTAAAATATTCTAAAATATTTTCTTCAAAGGTCGTTCATCACAATAATGAATCAAATTTGATTGTTGTTTGAGCTCTCTGATTGAATACAAGAAAAAAATTTGAATCAAATTAGAACAATCAGCAACAATTCGAAGTTGGCCCTGATTGTTCTGATAAAATTTTTTGCAGAAAAATAAGATAGAAAATTTGATCCGCCAGAAAATTATAGGATCGCGTGGCTTTTTGTTAGCAGGTAATGAGTTTTGCTTCTACAATTTTTTATACTAAAATTGCATTGCTACTATTGCATAAAATTAACTGCACCATGAAAATGGTCACTTCCGAGTAAGGAAACAAAATGATTACAATGCATGAATTTAGAATGGATTCATTAAAAGCTAAGATTCAAAATATTAAAAGATGATAAATAATACAAATGGAACAGTTTTTCAAAAAGTGACAACTAATTTAAAATTGTTGTAAAATTTCAATGGCGTAATTTACATTAATTTTATTTTGACGACAGCAAAATAAAACAAACAAAAAATCTTAGAAAATTGATGTTAATGTTTTCCCTTTTTGTATGAAAGTTGGATCATAAAAAGTGATTTTACAAAGTAAAAACAAAAAAAATTAAATATCTGAAATCTGAATTGCAGTTTTACTTGTTTGCTACAAATTTAAATGATGGAACTTTGTGGCAACAAAATCTGCTCAGCAGAATTAAATTGATAGACAATAATTGATAAATAATTCAATTTCCAGAAAGAAATTAGTCACTTTTATCTTTGTTATAAAATTTCAAAAAATAGTGTTCCAAATAAAAATAATCAATACAATCCGGTTTATATACAAATCAATTGTAATTTTTGGAACAGAAGTTCAATGCACCGGCCGATCGAATTCAACATCACGCACGGCTCCGTCCAAATTACTATTGACAGCTCCGAAGACAGCGAACGTGTTCCATTTCTGCTCGAGTGCAAAATGTGGCTCGGGTGATTATTTCATTTTTCCTTTCGGCTCGGCTGGCTGCTTTTATTCTGCGACGGCATTGCCATTGAATCGGACGTGGACCTCTCGAGGCCACACTCACTTCTCCACAGGTGCATTGCATTGTTATACATTTTTCACCAAGTCATCCGACCATCGCTGCGCACCGAGACTCGCAAGTCGCAGAAGGTCAATGTCGTGCATTTGTATTAAACTTGATGATTAATGAACTATTTGTTCCTCAAGTTTAGCAAAAATTCAGCAGAGCGTATAACAAAGAGCCTCGGCAGATGGCAATGACCACGCGGTTCGAATTTTTCTTGTTTTGGAATTTATGGACAGAGTCTCTTTTGTGTCCGGGGGTTTTGTTTGGACGACGATTAGCGCGCAATTTTTCAACAGCTCTTCACACTCAAGCTTTAATGTGAGATGAACAGCAAAAACGAAACTTAATATATTATGCCGTGATGGGGGAAAAAAATTACCTGCGTGGTAATTGAGACCTTGGGGTTCCGAGATGGCGTTAAAATAGTAAAAATTCGAAATCAATTTTATATCGTTTGTGTTGCAATGAACATAATATTATATTTGAATATTTAGAATAGCAATTGTTAGATAATTTTTAAATTATATAAAATCCAATAAAAAAACAATTGTAATAAAATTTTAAAAATATTTATGAATTTTTCCCTTATAAAAAGGATTTTCAGCTTAAATAACAGTTGGAAACGTTCAGGGTAAGGTCGATTTACAGCAAAAAATCTAAATTTTAAATTTTACAGACGTTTAATCAAATTGAATAATTTAAATTATATATTAAAGCACAGATTTTTAAATGTAACCAAGACAGTTTAATTTATAACGCCAGTATTATAAAAAACTCTTTGTTTCAAGTTTCTTATGAGATCTCCTATGTTAAAGTTTTTCAAATTGCAACAATGTCATTTATAAATAAAAATTAAGTTTTGAAAAAAAAATTATATCTTAACACATTTTCAAACTTTAAAAATAAAAATATTCACAATCCACAAAAATAT